GCCAGATTAAGCAAGTAAAGGACTTAGTTACAAGAAATTTGTCTAATGTTTTCAGGTTTTAGAGAGGACATAAATGTGTATTTTATAGTCCTCTGTCGTCCAAACTTATGGGAGAATTGCCGATTCTGTAACTAGCATATTCTTCTGGAGTTTATAACTCAATCACGTTAATTCACATTGGACTTGAATGTGTGTTTTGAATTATCATCTTGAGGACCTAATTGTGTTTTTTTATATTTAATGACAGCTATTGTAGAAAATCAATTTTATGTATAGCGCACTTTGCGCTATTGTGCCGTGTTGATGAAATGCCACCTCTGTCTCCTCCCCTCGGTGCCATCAGCCAAGTGCTGCCTTTCGAAAGTGTTTCCCCTGCAAGCTGGCAGAAATACTGAAATTGTGGAGCATTCACAGAAGAATTATTGGTGCAGTGCTTCATTTCAGAACCTCAAAAATAAATTTCTTTTGCTGATATCCCTTCACAGGAGATTGCAATATAGATCTTGGGCAGAGAAAGCGGGTCTACAAAAGTAAAAGTGATTGTTGCCATTTGTTTTGTTAGCATGACATCAGGTAACAAAGGACATACGTTTTCAGAGACTCAAAAGCTCCTTTAGTTTTTTTGGCTTTGTAAAATGCTTCATTCAACATTTTTAGTTGTGTATTTAAATTTTCAGTATGATACAATTCCAGTTCTACTGAATTCCATGAGATTTAAAGTCTAGTTTCAAGGTCTTGGCTGAAATAGACATACAACACGTTTTCAATAACTGAGAGCAAAAATACAACACAAATAAACATCACAGGAAAATATATATTTTTGGAATTCATAACACAAGAGCCGGTAGCTTTTTGTGAGTGGTCTTTAAAAAAATTAGAAATAGATAAAAGTTTAAGAAATTATGATTTCCTGGCTATTTTGTTATATCATCAGTGGTACATATTGGGTATAATATTCCAGGACTTTTTTGTCATTAAGGGTTTTGATGAAATGTCTGTAGGTGCTGCTATGAATAACAGTCCTCAGTTGGACTTTTTGTCCTAACATGCTAAGGGTTCCAGTCCTTTGCTTCTACCTTTCTAGTCTTCATCTCCTGTTACCTCTTCATTGCTTCCAGAACATTGTTTTCTGAAGCACAAACCTAATGGTATCTGTCTTCCAAAAATATCATGAATAGATCTGAGCAGCTTTCAGGACAAAAATCTAAACTCATTGAGCATAAATTAATTGGCCCTATCTACATGAGCTCTGTAAACCAGATTCCTTTAATGCTTAAAATCCTTTGCCCTCTACCAATTCCAGGATCGTGGATCTCTGCCATACGTGCTGGTTCTCTCTTGCCAAGTGGCTGTTCTCTTCCTCAGCTAGTGAACCCTGACTTGTGCTTCAAAATACAGCTCAATAAACCAATAGAAACCAGTAGTGCTATTAACAGGAACAGTTAATGCTTAATTTTTTTCTTTGATCAATTTTACGTACTTATATCTGATAATCTGAGCAACTGCTTTGATGACAACAATATGCAATGTAACAACCATTGTTGAATTCCTATCATCTTGTTTTTTGAAGTTCTGTATTGTCTCAAAAGTTTTTTTTTTTAATTTTTTATTGTACTTTATTCTCTTTAAAATTTTAAAAATACAGCTCAAATGTTGGCTACTTCTGGTATTTTTATTCTTCTTTCTTCATCTCATGGTTTAATTTGCTTCTATTGAGTATCTTTTGCATTTTTTGCCTCTATTCATTTATCTTTTGCATTTCTATTATTATAGAAATTATGTTCTACTATATTTGTTTGTATATGTATTTAGAACTCTGTGCTATGGAACAAGGGCCATTGTTTATTTAGCTTCCCATCCTTTACTCTAAGCAGGATGTCTCATACTGAGTAGTCTATCAGTACATTTTGAATTAATAAATGATATATCATATCATCTCAGAAATGTGGAAGCATAGATACAATTAATAATCAGTCTTTATTCCAGAAAGCATTATTATGACAGCCTTTTAAAAATTGTCAAATGGGAATTTTAAAAATATTTTGCAGAATCATTGACATAAAAATATTTTCAAAAGTTTGAAAATTAATTCAAGGGAGTATTAGCTATGTCACAGTGTGGACAAAATAAATTTTCTGAAATAGGTGGATGATAGAGAATATGCTTAATACTACAGATTTTCATTGTTTTCATGTATGTTTTATTTGATGATTTCAATCATGTATTCTCAGTTATTTCATTTCTAAAATTATATAAAAGAGGGCTATAGAGAGTACACAGACTGTAAGGTTTTACTAGCTAACTGTGTAGGCTAATTTCAATCCTTTCTCACCCAAAGCAGTGAAAATGGAGTAAGAATTTGAATATGTGATTTTTATTGAACAATGATAAATAGCAGATTTTGACTGAATTGAGTTCTTAATTTTTAATGTTGAAGTAAAAACTAAGATACTCAACACTTCTCTTAAAGTTACTATCCATGTTTGCATTATTACCTTTTGTTCATTGGATTGCAAAGGTAAATAATTATACACTGATTATTAAGTAGTAACACATTATCATGAAGGTACATGTGACAGAAACTAACTTTGCTATGGAGATCAACTTAAATCTTTCTTGGGGAACCTGGTAGTTTACATCTCTGTGGAAAAATACACTGTTGTGTTTTCAGTTTTTCCTAAAGTAATTTTGTAAAGCTGATATAAAATATCAGTCCTATTAAAAACATGAAACAAAAATCAATGCATCCACTGATTCAGTAGAACTGTGTAGAAATAACAAGAAGATTGTTAGGAAATGTAATCTCCTGAAAAGGCAGGGCAACATAAACCACACTGTGGTCAAACAGATCCATAAATCTTGATTCTTTGCACTGGTAGAATGAGTCTTCCGTTATCTATAGTTATAGAATGAGACTTCTCTTAGTAAATTTATCTCTTCTGTCCTTAGGGAATGTATTGGCTGTGTTGAATTAGGAATCAGGGTAATAGAACACTAAGAAATATTTTTTGGTGTCCTATTTCACTGTCAATACAAACACTGAATATTTTTGAGAAAAAATGCTGATACTTTCTCAGTGATAGCTCTTGTATTAGGATAAACATTTGGATGTATGTTTGAAGCTACTCTGCATTTAGTCTGCTCTTGGATCCATATGTACAGACCTCAGCATTATAGGTGAAGGACTTTACTGGACACCACTTAGTCTTAAGATTTCTCTAGAAGTCACATTTTAAGATTGTTGCCAAGTACACCATATTCTACAAATTAAAGTTGATTTTTGAATGTTTGCATGGTCTTAGTTTTCTAGCATATGCAACTGATTAAAGTGGAAGCAGATGATTAGAGAAGTCATAGGATAAACAATGTTTTTTCTTTTCTCCAACAAAAGTGAAGCTGGGTATGAATATGTCCTTGTAAATCCCTGCAGTTGCAGTGTTTTACTGTTACCCCTCCCTTTCTTCTCTATAAGTGCTATTTGTGTCTTGGTCTCATTATCTTCACCTACACTATTTTACCAGCCTCCCAAAAATATTCTACAGTTGAATGCTTCTCACTCTCCCCATTCTATATGGTACATCCTTTACAGGGTTAAACCTTCCAAAAATTTTTATTTGCATCTATCACTCCTCAGTTTAGAAAAAGTTAGAATAAAATCCTCAGTATGGCTTCTTAAATCTTCCTTTGCTGCCATAATGGTTATACAAAACCTTCCATAATCATATACACTGATTATTAAGTAGTAATGCATTATCATGAAGGTACATGTGACAGATACTAACTTTACTATGGAGATCAACTTAAATCTTTCTTGGGGAACCTGGTAGTTTACATCTCTGTAGAAAAATACACTGTTGTGTTTTCAGTTTTCAGTTTTTCAGATCGTACATAGGTGTGTTAAAGATGTTACTGCTGCTTCTTTATCCAGCAACTGCCTTGCTTGGACTATGTTCATTTTTACACTATGTAAATACTGCTCAAGCTACTGTAATGTCCATTTCCTACACAAAGTCTTTCATAGCCAACACAAAACAAAGAAATTCCTCTGTCATAAAGCTCTATTGCAGTGATTATATGTATTATAATTTATGTACTACTCTGCTATGGACTGAGAGACCCTCTACCATTACACTTAACGCAGTCTTAGAAAAATATTGACTTAGCTTTGCTTTTGCTATTGTCATTGTAATTATATTTTTTTTTCTTCCATTGGTTCAGCACCCCTTGATGACATATCAGAGCTTTCATCTCGGTTTCTTTTGTGCCCAGTTGCAGAAAATAGTAGCTGTGTGACTATTGTTTATCTATCTAAATGAAATTAACTGTATTGCACAAACTCTTTTCATATGTGTATTTATGCTATTAGTTAACTTTTATGTAATCTCTCTATTTTAAATATTTTAATATTTTAACTCTTCAACTCCTCATTTGTAGAATAGAAGCATTTTAACAACAGGGGTCACATTTTATGTCTTTTAATATCCCAGTATCTCATATGGCATCCAATAAACACTGCAAGAAAATTAATGTTTACCTAATAAATTAATTTTAAAGTAAAGATATAGTGATTCTTTTCCACCTTTCAACAAAAGCAGAAGCAAATTAGGTTCTATTTTTTTTCCCTAAATATATTATAATCACAAGGCATCTACGTATTTTCCTCCACAAGTGTATAGAACACAGGATTATAATGTGAAATATGTTCGAAAATAAGTTTACTTTTTTCCTCACTTAATAGAGAACTCGGGGCTGGGAATTTAGCTCAGCGGCACAGTGCCTGCCTGGCAAGCACAAGGTTGTGAGTGTGATTCCTGATATAGGAAAAAAAAAGAGAGAACTCTTTCCCCTTTTCCTTTGTGTTTTGAGACATTGGCAAAAGTAAAATATTGTACCCTTCCTCCTGGCACTAAGCAATTCAGCTAGAGCCAGATGCTCACTTTGATATCCTTTTCTTTGTCAACAGTTGATATTTACACACTTTCTTTCTTTTTAAATCATAGCTCCTCCACAGTTTGTGGTTAGGCCAAGGGATCAGATTGTTGCTCAAGGTCGAACAGTAACATTTCCCTGTGAAACGAAAGGAAACCCACAACCAGCTGTGTTTTGGCAGAAGGAAGGCAGCCAGGTGAGTGTAAGGCTGGACTGTTTCTCTGCTGTCTTTGAACTTCCCCTGGCTTTGGTGACTCTCAAAGCTTGCCTTGTCTGCACTGCTATCAATTTTGAGCTTACGATATTGTGAAAAAGGAGGCAAATGATTCTTACATAAATAAATGCTAGCTTTGTTTTAGAACAGACCTTTTTATTTACTTGGTTGAATTTTTAAAATTCTGTGTGTCTCATAAAAAAATAAATCAATGGAAAAAAATAAGTTAAAAATTCCAATCAAGACCTCTGTAGCTATTTAAAATCTTAAAGGTTAAAGTCATTTTACTTTCTTGTATTAAGTTACATGGTACGATTAAGTGAGTTAGTACATATAAACTGCTTAGAACATTACCTGGGACATGAAAAAGTCAGAAATATTTCTCATATTAATTGGTCTAAAATCCAGATTCAATCTATTCTCTTAGATAGACAGTGTAAATGGCTTTTAAAAATCTTTAATTTAAGCATGTTTCCATTTAAGAGTAAAACGGGTCTTCTACAAACCTTCTGGATTGCTGCATGGTAAGATTAGATAAAAACTAACATTGTCTTTCTGTGCTGGTTTTGAGTTTAGCCTCTCCAAGTCTCTCCAAAAGTCAAGTGAATACATTACTTCCTTCATTTAGATCTTAATCCAGACTTGGAGAATTGCTTAGCCTTTGGGTTCTGAGGCAGTAAGTGGAATCTCCAATTTATCCTAGCAAAGATTACAAGTTCTCACAATTTGTGTATTTCTAGGGAACCTAGGCATATTTTTGTTCTAGACTCTAGAACCATCTTAATGAGGCCTGAAAAAAAATTTTTTTTGAGAGGAGGAAAATTTATTGGAGAAAAGGAGTGAGGAATAGGAATGGGAAATAAGAATAGCTCCTGAGAGATCAGAGGGATCCCGAATAGGTTTCCCCCAGGCGTGAAATCCTCAGAAATAAAACTTCTAGCATTTTCTCTCAGCAACTGCTATTGTTAACCCAAATTTTGAAAGAATTTCTTGGGAACTAATGGAAACTAATTTTTTGGTTTCTCTTTTGGTTTTCTAATGATTTTGGGGATTGAAACTAGGGCATGTACATGCTAAGCAAGTGCCTTACCACTGAACTAGTTCCCAATACCAAAATTATTTAGCTATAAAGAATATTATTCAGCTATAAAGAGGGATGAAAGTAATGTTTTTTGGGCAGGAAAATAGGTGAGACTTGAAGATCACAAAAGTATCTGAAACAAGCCAAATAGAGGACATTAAATATAGCATCTCTTATATTAGAGGCCTAAGATATAATAAATAAGTAATGAAGTAAAATAAAAATAGGATGGTAGGAAGCTAGAAGGCAAATATTTTAGTGATGGGAAGGGGATTGGGCAGTGGCTAGAGGGAATGGAGGGGAAATAAAGGGATTGAAATTGGCCAAGAAATGCTGTGTACATAGACCAACTCCCCCAAAGTCATCGTAAATATTACATATTGCGAGCATACAGAAATAAAACAGTGCAGGAAATGTGAGTACTGACAGAGAAAGATAATATTTTAAGAGAATTTATTGATTAGAATTCCCATCTGTCTTCCTGGTTAGGGAACTTTTCAGAAGTTGTGTTTTGCCATCTTCTCTTAGTTGTAATGGGTTCTTGTCTACTCTTGTACCATGCCCGAGCCGGCAGTTTTCACGACTCAGATTGAATAGCCAAATGGTCTTTCTTACATTCTTCAGCTGCCCTAGTTTCCTTTCGGATTTGTGGGATATAAAGACAGTGAGGTAAATGTAAGTACATGTGAAGTCACTACCTTATCCCATGTCAGAGTTGTTTCAGACCTTAACAGACAAAGCATTTTGTGTCATTCAGTAACTTTATTGAAAATAATTTTATTCATAGAATTCCCTGACATTTCACTTTAAATTTTTCAGTTGGAAGTCATCACAAATACTAAAGTGAGTCTATAACAATGACATATAAACAAATACATCTACACACATTAAACAGCAAAATTCAAAACAGTTTTCCTGCTTTTAAATTGAAGAACTATTGCAGTGCTATTTAACTTTTCTGAAACTAGTATTGTCAGCCTAAAATGTAGAGACTTACATTTTTCTTCTTGTAAGTTATGAACATTACATGAATATGTTACACTACATGAATATTTTAAGATTACATGAATATCATATATAAAAGTGCTTCTTTACACATTATGAAGATCTCACAGAATATCATTATATCACTGACAGTAAATATTTTGATGTAAAACAATTTGACTTTTCACATTTACACATTAATTTCTTATATTGAGTGAAATACTACCATAATGAAACATGTTATATATGTACACACATACATGTATATGTAAGACCTATTTCTATAAGATTATTTCATGTGGAAATCACATCTCCTAAAATACCTCCAAGTGGGATATAAGATGATGTATGTATTGTTCCTGAAGTCCCGTAAACAAATATCACTCATTGGTTTCAATAGTTTTGAAAAAATAAATTTCAAAAGCATTTTAGCATTCTTTATTTTTTATTATTTGACAAAGTAACATGTTATTCTAGTGCTGTTACTGGCAAAGGCTACACAAAATTTTAATTAGGCACTTTAATTTTTTCTAACCTTAACTCTAGTTTTCTTCACCAATTGGGAGGGAGCAAAGAAGGAAGAGAGAGGGAGGGAGGGAGAGAGAGAGAAAGAGAGAGAGAGGAACACAGAAATATGAGAAAAAAAATATTTTTAAATCATGAATTGAAATTTTTAAATCATGAATTGAGATATGAAGAAAAATAAATTGGTCTTACTGTCTCCAGTACCCAATTTTTACAGTGATCTATGATCATTCATCAGTGGAATGAGTTAAGAGCCTAGACTTAATGGTCCATAGTCTTCAATATGTGCTGATAATGCCAATTAGTACTAATAGGTTATGCCGGCACTTCAAGTCAAGAAGAGCTCTGTAAAGTTCCTGGTTTTGGCTTATAATCCATTTTCTTTTGCCGATGTCATATAAGCAGGGAATAAAGATGATGGGTTAACCTCAATCAAATTCCATTTTCCATGTCAGTGGATCATTTATAAAGTAGACTGATATTGCATTGTAGAGAAAGAGATGCCGGAGAGAATTAGACCGTCTGATGGATTAGAGCTATGTAAATTAGTATTCTAATGGCTAATTGTTGGAAAGTGTGCACTTTGAGTTATTGTATCATTTTCAAGTGATTCTAAAATTTAGACCTTTCAGATGGTTTATTTCTGTAATACATTTGGATTGCACAAGAGATTTAACTTGTTCTCAAAGTTATATTTCACGTGTATGAACATGTCTAGTCTTATATAGTAACATACATTTTAGCACAGGGCAGTAGTATTTTGAAATTATATTCCCAATATGCTTGCAAACATCTCTCCTTTTAGAAGGAATTTAATAACATGGTAATGTTTATGTAAAGTGGGCTTATAGTGTCACACTTGAATCTAATAAAGTGGACATCCATCATGTTGCAATAAAGAGAAGAGGTTCTAATTAAAGTAGGACATCGTTTGCAGGATTAAAGTCATTTAGCGTAATTGAAAAGTGTTAATACCCTATTTTATCCTCTTCCACTGGTATTACTTCAAGGGTAAAAACATTTTAAGGTGAAAATGTGTCTTGTGCCTTTAATTGAATGTTATTACCTCCTGATTGCTACTTATTGAAACTGTTTAATTACAAACCTGGAAAATTAATTACTATATTGAGAAACAGATCCCAGAGGGTTATAATGTTCTTCTTGTAGGTAAATACAACATAAAAATTGATATGTCCTTATTTATAATCCAACTTGGAAACATACTTCAATATGATTTATTACACCCAAATGTTTTTGTTAATTGAACAACAGTAAAACAACACAGGTCACCCAAATTAATGCTACTGTTCTCGTATAGGAACTATAAAATTTGTGTTAGGCTACATGAGATATATGATAGGCTTTACAGATGTGTGTGTGTGTGTGTGTGTGTGTGTGTATAATACATATATTTTTATATATGTATTACTTTTTAATGTAATACTATAAAATTCTTTGCAGTAACGTGCACACTTTTGATCAATTCTACATCCTTTTAAATTTTTCAGTGTTTATTTATCTTGCTTAGGTTGTAGGGTTCAGTCATAACTCCTCTGGAAGCTGTTATGACCTGCAAAATCTTACAGTAGAAGTAGATTCAGGTCTTTTTTCCCAATGTCACAAATCTTTAAGGCAAAATTAATTATCCTAAACTATTCAATATGGTAAGCAGCTATTGTAATTTATATTTTGTTAACATACAGTTGATAAGGTACCTGCATAGGTAATGTTACAGTCTACATCCTCACAGTGTCTGAGTTTCATCACCAAAATATTTTTTGCTCCCCTTTCACATGGGGAAACTATGTTTCAAAGATATTAAATAATTAAGTGATGGTCATGGGTAGAATAAATGGTTAAGATATACGAATGCTGATTGCCCTTATTTGAGCACTATATGCTCTCTAAATGTATTGAAATATTACATTATACCCCATAAAAGTAGAAATATTACGTTAGTAAAAAAACTAAATATTTTTTAACATACAGGTTTCTAAAAATACACATGGTAGAATTGTTTATTCAACTCTACACCATATTTCCTTCATAGAGCATATTATTTCTCCATATTTGGAGGAAATTTCCCACTCAAACCCAATGTGTGCTATATTGTCATGTCAGCCTCCTATATTTTCAAATCTGTATTTTTTCTTTTTCTTCAACCACATTCTCATAATTTTAATAGTTGCTAATATAATTCTACTTCCAAGTGGGAATAGAGTATTCATGAGATTGTATTCACCTTCACAGAACCTGCTTTTCCCAAATCAACCCCAGCAGCCCAACAGCCGATGCTCCGTGTCACCAACAGGAGACCTCACGATCACCAACATTCAGCGCTCAGACGCCGGCTACTACATCTGCCAGGCCCTAACTGTGGCAGGAAGCATTTTAGCAAAAGCTCAACTGGAGGTTACTGATGGTGCGATATTGCTATTCATTTGTCTCATGAAAATATTTTTATTTCAAGATGACATTCACCATGTGAAATTCTGATTTTTGAATGATTTAAATCAATGCCTATCTTCTAAATTTGAATCTAGGTGAAGTAATATTCTCAAGTAGTATCTAATTCTCTCTGAGTTAATACCATGTATAATTCTCAAACAGAACATCAAATGCAATATGTTTTAATATAAAATATACAATGATGCATTATCTTAAGGAAACACTATCTCACCATGTTTAAAAATATAATCCATATATTTTTATTTAATCTCATAATGACATGACTGTTTCTAATGAATATTAATAATTTTATTTTACTGAAAGAGGGGGAAAATATCATCCTCAATATTACCAGTGTGAAAAAGATGAATTTTTAGTTAGCTAATCACATTTTGACATTTCTATGACTTTAATTATACATTCACTAAGTTAAATTAATTAGATAACTTCTGAAGTCCTGATGAATGCCACAACTATTATTTTTGCTTGCAGATGTGCACTTTGAATCTTAACTGAGGTACTAGCATTCATGGAGAAATGTGAAAAGGATCTAGTTCTTTCTCAACAGTTTGTCACAGTTGAGAACTAGAGCATCTTAGATGTTTTGTAAACCTCTGAGGTTGAATTTAAACACTATTGTTTGATTTCTTAAATTAAAAATTCATTTTTCTTGTCTTATATTTGTAAGATATTTGGGGTTTTTTTCACCCCTAATGCTGAATTCTGAAATATAAGGATTTTGGTATGTGACCTGATTCTCTCCTTGCTCTACTGGTAAAATTTCATGTGCTTTAACAGAATTCATACTTACATCTAGATTAAAAGGTCATTTAAAATTAATAGAAAAGCAGTATCCTTTAATATCTGTCCATGATCTGATCTGATTCAGCATCATGTCAGGAATGGAAATAAATAGTAGAGAAAAACATTGGCTGCAGACACGGAGGCATTAATGGTCTCACCTGCTGGTGCTGCAGAGATTTACTACTGCACATGCAAGGAGAAGTCAGGTTCAAAGGTAACAGTGATGAGAAAATCTTCCTGAGATGCAAAAGGTCTTTCATCTCTCCTGCCTCAATATGTCTTTAAAGGAGGAAAAGATAACTATGAGTCTTTTTAAAGTTCTCATACTTTCTATCACTAAAAATATCTAGATAGGTATACATGGAAAATATATTAAGGCTAAACCCTCACTATTAGTCTATATTACTGATTGCTATGTATGATGTCAAACATAATGCTAAGATATCAACTATAGTATAGCACAGTACCACCAAAACTTCTAAATATTTCTAAATGAATACTATGGAGAAGGAAAACTATATATGTAAGAAACAAAATGGGTAAATTACAAGAGGTCATTTATGTGACTGATAGGGTTTGTGAGATAGATATTTAGAATTCTGTCTGAAGCAATGGAAAGGAAATGTTTTGGACCTTGTGTTAGTTGATGATATCTGACAACTGGCCTCACATTGGAGGTCAAAATTAAGAAAGTGATGACCAAGTTTAACATTTTTGATGACTGAATGGCTCTGAACATTTTTACAACTGGATTGAATAGTAATTCCTTCATTGATTTTTACTTAAGTAAGCAATCAAAGCGTCAAAGTCCTTTTGGAGAAACATTTAATGTAAGTATAGAATTGTTGATTTCCATAATTACAAATCTCACTTTTATGCACACATAAATATTTATAAGTAATCTATCTCTAAATATTAAATTCCTATACTGCTTGATAATTTCAGCTTTTAGTCATGGTTTAATTTTTTTCCAGATTGTTAGTGATTATTTAATATTTTTAATGATGCATGGAAATTTTTTTATTTTTTAAAGAGAATAAAAAATAATAAAAAGCATTAGAAATGATGCAGAATTTCGCTAAACAAGATGATAGGAGTTCAACAATGACTGTTGCATTAAATAGTATTGTCTTCAATTGAGTGTTCCGATTACCGGATATAAGCATGCAAAATTGGTCAAAAAAATAAAAAGAAGAAAAAAATAAAAAATGTAAACATTAACTCTTCCTTTCAATAGACCAGTAGAAATCAGCAGTATAATTGTCCCAGTTATCCTGTGTGTATATATACATATGTACATTTTTTTTCCCTTCTGTCTATTTGGGAGCGAACTAAAATTCCATTGTAGAATGAAAATATGTGTCATGTTCAGAAAAACAACTAAAAATTCCATCTAGAAAAGTGTTGCTACTGTTATATTTTTGCATTTAGACTGATGTCCTAGGAATGTTTTAAATCTCAGCAATCAAATAAGATGACATTGCTCATGGTGAAAGCAAGTGCCATGTCGAGTAATTTATTGATTATGATTGAGCTAAAATGTTTAAATATACTTACAAAGTATATTCCTAAAAGATCTTATTTATATACTAGCACTGTTGTTTCATTTTTTTATTTCCTGCTTTTGTACTTTTAGAAAATTAGAAAATCGTAATGAAGATTCTATGGGAAGAGCCATCCATTAGAATCTAAAAGCACTAGAAAGATGAAACATATTTACATCTTATACTGACGATAAATGTCACAACATGATCTGATATGAAGTATTTATTGAGAATTTGTAATGCACAGTTAGAGAATGTCATGGAATTGTTCACAGATCACTGGAACCCTAAATGTGCATTTAAACTTTGACCTTAGTGTCAGAGAAACCTGTGATCATCTTTCACTGACAATATCTTTGAAACTGAAAATTCCTGGCTCGGAGATTTTCTTTTACCTTATTGATCAAAGTCATCAAAAGATGATAGGTTACTCATATAGGTTGAAGAGAGAGAGAGACAGAACGAATTCTGTAAAAAAATTACAATTACCAAATTTTACCTGAGACAATAAGGAAATTATGATGTCCATATAGGTGACTTCTACCTTATTGCTCCTTGATATCTAAGATAGAGATGGTCACCAGAGATGGAACAACTTTGAAACAAATTAATATGCTTAGATCACTGATGCACTTTGCGTATTAAAATCTTGCAGCGAGTTAAGATTAAGTAGAAATAAGATTCAACAACTTCTCTGCCCTAGAATTTAATTCTCCTTTTCCAAAAGAGATGACCTTTGGCTTTATATGATGATTTTAGAGATGTGGCAATAAAAACAAGTTATTAAATATTCCTGGAATTCTATATTGGCTTTTAACTTGAAACAAAGGAATAACAGCACTTAAAGATTCATAAATGAATTGCTCTCTTATAATGAAAGTCGATTTCCTACTTGAATTGAAAAATCACTCATAAGGTTTTTTTGAACTGGTCTTCTGATTTTGTCTCTTTAAGAATTCCATAAAACTTTCAATTTGAATTTCTTTTTGCCCAATTATTGCCAGATGTGTCAGAATTATAATACTGCATTCTCCCTTCTCTTGATTATTTTATTTACTTCTAAAATGAAGACTGTGAACAAGAAAACAAGTAAGATAAGTTGCTCCAGTTTTAGTTTGTGAACAACAAATAATTTTTTGTGTTTTTTTCATAAGTTTTTATGATTGATATAATAGATTTAGGTAGGTTGGAGTCCATGGTATTTTAATATTCAAGGGATATTTATCATAACCTTTAATGTGAATTATAAGTGGTCTCATGGAATGTTTTGAAGGGCCTGATAATTTTAATGATTTCTTTCCCAACTCTATGAACTCAGATAATAAAGATAGAACATGTGCATTAGGAAATACTCGTGTAAGCTGGAGTTTATAAAAGCTAGAGGACAGAGGAATTTAGGGCATCAAGCAAAATGATATAACTTTTCTGATTATGTACAATGTAATGAAAGGTGACCTTTTCAGGAAAAGAGTATATCTCATCACAATTGCTAATCAGTAATTGGAATAATATAAATATGTATAATTTGGAGCAAAGTTACTCAAAATAAATGCTTGCTATGCTGTTACTGAAGTTTCTCTTAAGAAAGCCTTCACTGGACCTGGCCATTTTAGTTGGATTCTAGTGAATTCTTAGTGAAACTTTACCTTCTTTTAACTGCATATTTTCACATGCCATTTAAAAAATGCTAAGCATTCAGATGTGCTACTTAAGGAATTTTTAAATACATCTGGAGGCATGAAAGATACTTTTACATTAATTATTTCATGAACAAAACACACTACAGTAAAAGCTTGTGGAAAATTTATCCGAGTAATCACAAAAATTATATATATATATATATAACATGAAATTCCTATTGTCATATCACAGAGTCTTACTAGACTGCTTTGTTGTCCATAACTTATGTCAATTGAATTTGTCCATAACTTATATCAATTGAATAAAATCATCCAAATAAACCATAATATGAAGAAGTAATACCATGAGCTTGTAAATACATTTTTATATTCAGTATTTTAACACCTTTGTTTTAACTAACATAGATACAGCACACACTGGAATGATAAGGAATGAATTATAAATTGTGCATATATTTAAAAAGAAAGCAAAAGTGAAAGTTGTTTCTACTTATAAGATCCTCCAAGGGCTTTCTTAAGTACACCTCTGAGTGATAAAATGAATGTTTTTCTATGAATGACTACTATACACTATTCATTTTAAATTTAATTTTATTATAGTTAAGCCTTCTAATACAAATAAGCCTCTCTAAAATGTCAGGATTTAGCTCATCATTAACTATAACTAACATACAATAAGTTATGAACAATAGTATGGTCTTAGGACAGTACATATAAATGCATATATAGTAGTATAGATGGGTGTTCTATGATAGATATTTAATATACAGAATAAGTTATTAGGGATATATATGGCATTGGGTTTTTAACCTTTCTTTCAATGTCAATGTCCCAAACTACTGCATGTCTTAAAATAAAAACATCCTGATTGTATTTTTATTCTTTAGTTCTGACAGATAGACCTCCACCAATAATCTTACAAGGTCCGGTAAACCAAACATTAGCAGTAGAAGGTACAGCAATACTGAAATGTAAAGCCACTGGTGATCCTCTTCCTGTAATTAGCTGGTTAAAGGAGGGATTTACTTTTCTGGGTAGAGATCCAAGAGCAACTATCCAAGAGCAAGGAACACTGCAGATTAAGAATTTACGGGTAAGTAATATTTGATTTCTTCTGCAGTCTTCATCTTAGTGTAAGTACTGCTCCAGGGAAAAACTGCTTGGTGAACTTAGACTCTTACATTTCAGTGTAATTGCTGCATATGTTATAATAGGTCATGTTTCTTACTTTAAAAATGATTAGTTGAAGTTAGAAGGTCATTGTCCTTATTTTACTCATAAATTCATAACAGATCTAGAATTTTTTATTTCAATAGCCTACTTTATATATATGAAATCACTGAAACTAGAAATTTTATACCAATTAAAGTTAGTAATATTATAGAAGATATTTCAAGTCTTTGACAATTTTTTTATGATTTTACTCTCACTTGTAAAGGAAAACAGTTGTGGGGAAATGGAGATAAACTGGATTGGCCGATTTTATAGTTGTGTGAAAAGAATAAAATGATGAGATTGCCCAGAGGGAGCTAGGCAGTCAGTCAGTTAGTCAGAAGGAGCCCTCAGACTTTAGGTTAAATTGCTGTAAGTTTTACATTTAAACCCCCAAATAATAAAAAGTCATTGGTGGTCTTTTAGTTGAAGTTTATGTGACAGAGAATAACTATTCTTGGAAACTTAAACTGGATCTGTTCCAAGGACAATCCAAAATAAAAAGTGTGCTTCTGAATATTGTATTAATTATCTATTATTGTGTAGCTATTAGTGAAAACCAAGAGGTTTAAAATAATGCACAGTTATTTTCTGGCAGCTTGTATGAGTTAGAGGCATGGCCACGACTTAGACAGGTCTTCTACTTCAGGGATTCACAGAGCTTCTTGATTAAGGTTATGATCTTATCTGATGATTGACAGAGAATTGATTTGCTTCCAGGCCACAAGGCTGTTGGTAGTACAGTATAGAGTTCCTTGGAGCTACTGGATTAACAAGTTTAGCATCTTGCTGGCTGTTGACTAGAGCCTGCCTTTAGTCTGTATGTACATTTTCCTGGTATGACTGTGTATTTCTTTAAAGTCAGCAAGAAAGAAAGTCTCCTAGAAAGAAGGACATTACAATTGTATGTAAAAAAAATCTCAAGCAACGCATACTAAAGCCTTGAAATAATCTATTAGCCGGGAGCAAATCTAAAAGTCCCGCCTACTCTTTATTCAGGTGAAAGATTATACAAAATAGGAAAACCAGGTGGATGTCACTATGAAGAATATATCCTCTTCCTGTATATTCAACTCATTCAACCAAATATGGTAAATCCATCCTAACCTGCCCCATGGAGCATGCACTGCCCTCAGGTGAACAGTATATTGTGGTAATCACAGATTGAAGAAGAGAGCCAGAACTAAGGTAGCTGAGGTAATAGTGCGTGAAGACAAATTCCTTGAAAATGATTTAGTGGAAGCACAATTAAAATAGTCTAAATGCCAGGTAAAATTAGGCACCAAAATGATAGGGGACAAAAACAACATAATGTTGCTGAGTTTGCACATTCAGAACACAGGAAGATAAAAATGTTTTACTGCATGTATCTTCATGTGAGGAGGATCACATTCTGAGGGTGGTAGTACATTTACCACCATAGTTCATTTAATTGTTTGTCTCTGTATCATGCAGATGCAAATGGAAAAATGATTCAAACACCACATACAAATAAAATGGACTGTATTAATATAATATAAATGATTTTAACTGTGATTTTGAGACATAGATATTAATTTTTTCTCTAAGAAATCTGCAAAGTTTGATTAAAGGCAATAAATTAATAAGACACATTTGTCTTTTTATTGATGATAAATTAGTTGTTAACTTTCTGTAAACAATTGGAAGTTATTAAAAAAATGCCAATTCTCCTTGTGTAGACACTTGAACCTCTCTCTTTGGGCTAAAGGCCGATTTGAGCCATAGAAATTAATGCATTTTCACTGTTTTCCTGAATTTGAGAATGTGCTTGAATAGCGAAGATACCTAGTAGACTTTGGAAGAACCAATTGAACGTGGGCGCTGGATGATGTTAAACTTGGAGCCCTCTGACAGGCTTCTGAGTGGTCTGTCCCAGAGATTTCTGCTCCTGAGGGCTGGATCGCAGCCAACTGCACAAGGGACACTACTGGGTGATACAGTATGCTGCACATTAACCTCTTCTTAGAGCTATTTGTTAGGAATAAGAGGATGAAGATGGGAAAGAACTGAAGGACTTCTGACCCAAACAAAAATAAAAACAAAAGCAAAACTTGTATAAGGTTAAAACAATGAAAAAATTATGATAATAGAAGCTGTTGGTGATACAACAGTGAAATTTAACAAATGAAATTTAGCCATTTAACATCACAAACTCCAGAGTGAGCACATTTTTTGTTTGTCTGTTTGTTTGTTTTTGTATAATGTCTGTGTTTAAAGGGAGATTAAAAGGAGCCTTATGCTATTTTCCTCATCCAGTCTCCAGAGATTTTACTATATGTCACATCCCTCTATGTCTCATTACTTTTATTTTATTACTTTATGAAGAAAAAAAATAACATGATGAATACTGTGTTCTCATAGTCCAGCTAATTGGTAACTAAATTAGTATCTTTTGAGAAGTAGAATGTTCCAAAACTCATTAAAGCCTACCTACTACAGCTAATGTCAGACTTATATCTCCCCACAATGACAAAGAGATGCAGTTAAGAAGCATTACCTACATACTCTTCTTTTAGCATTTGCAGAGAATAACAAGTGCTCCATTTTAGTTTAACAGCTATAATGAAATGCAAATTCTTTTACTCTTTCACTGTCCATATTCAAATGAACATCCCATTAAAATCCAGCCTCAGCTCATTATATTTCGTTTGTGAGTGATGCTTCTTAAATGCAAAGATTTCTAATGACTATAATGTGCATACAGCCACATTTCAAAGAATGGCTCTTTCCACAATGGCTATTCCCATCATGCTTCTAGGTAATAGAAGACAATTGTACAGAGATGATAAGGTAAAGAATGACGTGCCAGAGCAATTTGAAACTTATGTTAAAATACATAATGACATTTAAAATCAATTAAAATGGTGAAATGGCAGTGACATCCATGCACTACTGATTTATTTGAGAACCAATTGTGAAAGCAAAAGTCATTAGTGTACTTACATTTTGAATCCAGCAGATGTAATATTCCATGTAGTTCCATATTTATTCAACAATGAGACCCATTTTCATCGCAGAACTTTAATTCTACGTCTTCTGCCTTGTCTTCCTCTCTTTGTCTATCAGTTTGTCTTCTCTGCCTCCTTCTTTCATACATCTAACTGAATACAAATGAATATTGTTTGCAATATAAGCCAATAAGATCCAACCGTGGTGGATCTTTGGTCTGTTTTCAAAGTATATGCGCACAGAAGTACTTGACTTTTACATTTATAAAACAGAATTCTTGATTATATTTTCAATTCTTTGTAAAGTCCTTGGCCACTCTTCCATGAATAATAAAAGCATTTTAAATGATCATTTAAATGACAATTTTTTAATGTTTCTTTAAAAAGAATTATGTGTTAGACTGTTTTACATTCCTTTTCAGTTCTAAATTGCAGTGGCTTCATAGGAATTGTTGATTTGTTTTGTAAATGTGGCAACTTTATTTTACTTACTGTTATACTGCTCCTCTTCATATGTGATGACTGATTCCTTAAAAGGAAAAATATAGTTTTTCTTTTGTAAAAATTATTTCTTTCACCATATTTCTCTTGGTATAGGGGAAATGTGGCTCACTGCTATTTCACTGTTTCCTTATACCTGCATAAATTTTATCCATTGAAATATATTTTATTTGAGAAAGAGAAAATTCTCTTAGCATTACTGACACTGTATGCATACAGGGTTCTAAAACATTTCTGTCTTGAGTGTCTGTATCTAGCTCTGACACAGTAAAGCTGCACCAGAAAGTGGACATAAGAGATAAGACTATTACCGTGGGAAGAGGAAAATACAAATAAAACTAGAATTTTCAAATAACATTTGGCATAGAGATATACATTTTAAAAAGCTTTTAAATCCACATTATGAATAATATTATATGAGTTAATTTTCATATTTTGTGTATATACATGATTGACTCTAATGAAAAATTTGGACAGCTAATTGATATGCCTCAATTTATGAAAGTACATACTGCCTGGTTGAAAGTGAGTAATTAGTCTCCCAGCTGATTGCAATTGAAATCTCTGCCTTCTCTGTATACTAGATTTCTGATACTGGCACTTACACTTGTGTGGCTACAAGTTCAAGTGGGGAGACTTCCTGGAGTGCTGTGCTGGATGTGACAGGTGAGTTCTCTGTGAATAATTTGAAGGGTAGAAATTTTGAACTCCTTCTGAGCGATGATTATCAAATAATAAGTTGAGGAAAGATTGTGGTTGTAAATCCATTGATGGTAAATCTAAGTCTTCACATTCAGTGACACTTTTAATTCCTACACTAACATTTGCCACATAACATTGCACTTGTACAATTTATTACAATTTGTTCTTGATGAGTTTATTATTTTACTGTCCCTGAAATGGAAGCAATTCTAAGTCATCATGTATGAAAATAAAGTTTCCATTTGTTACTTTGGAAGAAGTAGATATTTGTTTATGTAGTTCTGACTCATTAAGATGAATTGTTCACTGTCGTCTTCTTTACTAGACTGTTTCTTTTAAATATCATCAACAGCTTATGCAACCAGAATTAAAGTTCTTTTTTCTGTGTTCATTACAGAATCTGGACCAGCAATCAGTAAAAATTATGATTTAAATGACCTGCCAGGGCCACCATCCAAACCACAGGTTACAGATGTTACTAAGAACAGTGTCACCTTGTCCTGGCAGCCAGGTCCCCCTGGAGCTCTTCCAGCAAGTGCATATATCATTGAGGCTTTCAGGTATGGGACAGTTCTTATTTTCTGCCTTTTGTTTTTGTTTTAGTTCCTAGATAGTAAAATCTCAACTAAGCTACCATGGTGTATTATATAAAAGACATATTCAATCAAAACATTTTAAGAATTTATCTTCTATATCTGACATTAACAAGGGACTTAACTTTTCTACTTGTACCTTAATTATAATATCAAATATGCATTATCTGTTTTTAGCTCTATAGGACTGTAGTGAGGGACATACCCATTTAGCTGAAGCCCTTATACTGACAATTGTATGCACTTAAAATGAGAATTTGAGCCTTAGAACTGAGCAGAAAATACTTAGAGTTCCGCCCAAACATTTTTAAATTTCTGCAGAATTTACAGAAGCATGAAATTTTGGAACTACTTATTCCTGATAAATAGAGCAGAACATAAAAATACTCTAATGTTTTTATATTGTATACTTGAGTACACCTATTGCATATTATTTCTAGAAAATACAAAAACCACAATTGGGGCTGGGGATTTAGCTCAGTGGCAAAAGTGCCTGCCTGGCAAGCGCAAGGTCGTGAGTTTGGTTCCCGGTACCGGAGAAAAACCAAAAAAAAAAAAAAACAAAAACCACAATTAAGACATCGATTCTACCTCTTTCTAATTGCTGAAACAAAAATATTTCTGGCTATTATTTTAAATAAGTGTCATTAACTTAAAGATATAGATAATAAATTAGGATATTTCATCATCACATTGTCCTATAGGAATTTGATGAAATACTGATACATATGGGCGGATGGTTTTAATATACTTTCATATTCCATTTTCTAAGTTTGATTTTGTAGTTTGAAGGACACAAACTGTCAAGTTAAGCTTCTCTGCTCCATATTTAAGGTAATGATAGATACATCATTTTCAAATTTCAACATTCTCTTTTCCATAATTTTATCTTTAATTCTTAAAGATATCTAAAAATAGACACAAACTTAAAAATCATATTTTTCTCCTTATCTAGGAAAAAGTAGCATTTGACTTTACTCAAAGCGATCTAATATGTCAACCATCTGTAGCTAGCTGTGAAGAGGTCCACACACAGATTGAGATATTTCGCTATTCTGAGAAATCACAATACTGTGTAATGTACAATTTTATTAAAAATGTAACGAAGGGAAAATATTCATGACATGCTTCCTTTCTTCTTTTACAGATATGTAGTTTTAGAAGGCTCTATTATAATATTGCATGTGGAATTGATGCAAAAGAAAACACACCTTGTAACAGCAAAATGTATTGGCATACTTTACTCTGTAGTGCATTTATTCTTTCTGCAGGTTAATTCTTTTCAAGGTATATATATAAATGCATTTACGAGGACCATACTTATTGTATAACCTTGATGTTGTGATCTTGGCCTCTGTTCCTTTACAGGTATTCATTTAGTGGGCTGCTGTGCATTTAGCAAAGGGCTGTCACATCTTCTGGGCTGAGTTTAATTTTGTTGTGCATGGCACTTCCGTTAGGTGGGCTCGGCTTTGTTGTTGAATAAACTGAAATCATCCAAATGTTTCATTTATTGGGCTGAATACTTCAAGTGTTGTATGTGTGTGTGTGTTTAATTTTCAGCCATTAACCTTTGTCATTGATACCCACTTCCATTTCCAATGGCTTTATGATTGCTCTTTAAATGAAACTTCTGTTCATGTTTCAGCCAATCCGTGAGCAATAGCTGGCAGACAGTGGCAAACCATGTAAAGACCACCCTCTATACTGTGAGAGGATTGCGGCCCAATACAATCTACTTGTTTATGGTCAGAGCAATCAACCCCCAAGGTCTCAGTGACCCAAGCCCTATGTCAGATCCTGTGCGTACTCAAGGTAATTTCAGTAGTTGAAACCTGACTGGTTCTGTAAGGAAACATCAGATAAACATTATAGAATATCAAGATTGCATTATGAAAAGGTGACGTATGTATGTTGATTTTTACTTTAAAAAAATTATTAGTGTATGTTGGCCATACATAATATATATATTCAATGTATGGCATATATATATATATATATATATATATATATATATATATATATGTGTGTGTGTGTGTCACATTTTGATCCTTTTTGACTTCCCTTTACTTATATGGTTCTTTCTATACTAATTGACTGGATTTCATCCAGTCCAGAGAACCAGATTTGTTGTTTACCTTCATAAAATGTGTGCTTTATCTGTTGCTTTCAGGGTCTATAGAGTTAAGAAATAAACTAAATAAGTTGATATATTTACATGGTAAAAGTTGAATCCATTATAAGTGAGAGACAATACTTATCTTTCTTTGTATTAATTATACAATAACAAAAATAAAAGAATAAAAATGAATAGATACCCAGAAAGGGATGTAAAGTAACTGCACTACTGCTCAGAATTCCCATTTTTATAGTGCAGTGGCTCTCAAAATGTGGATCCTAAATAGGCAGAATGGCATCCTCTCACTCTGAACGGCATTTTGAGCCTCCAGTGCAGAGCATTGGGGTTGACCCAGGGTCACTTAACATGCCCTCCAGGTGATGCTGGCGCTGAACTTTAACAACGTCCCATGCAATGCATTTTATTCATTCACATATTGCAAGGAGTAATTTATTACAGAAAACAGTAAATCAAGTTTTCTTCCTGAGGCTTTCAATTCTTTTGATTAACAAAAATCCCCTCAGAATATTAAAATGTAATTTCAGAATGGAAGATTTCCTCATTTTATCTCTAGTAACCTGTATATTTCCAACTGAGAAGTCATTGGAGTCTAAGGTTTAGTGCAGAATGCTACATTATAGTTTCCTTTATGGCTAGCATGTGAAGGGAATTAATACAATAGGAATGGTGCCTTTATTATGTGTTCCTACCTACTTCCTGCAGGGTTCTTGAGAAAGGGTTAATTATTTCTTATTTATAAAGGGCTTTGAACAAGATATAATTCCAAGTAGTATTTTATGCAATGAAAAGCACTGTACAGCCATAAAACATTATTATAATTACGATGTAGTTCAGTGATAGTAACTACCAAGCCATTATAACAGAGAAGGGAGCCTTAAAGAAATCAAGTAAAATAAAGTCACCACGTGGCTGTAACATTGCTGACATGATGACAGTCGAGGGAGGAGGGAATGCCACTTTGCTATTGTTCTCCAAGCAGTAATGTGATTAATTTTCCATGATGATAAAGGGCCTGTAGGTAAAGAACCTGTCTCAGGAGAAAGAAAAAGCACAACAAAGAATTTGAAGACCTGAAACTAGTTACATTTTACCTTACCTAGATCCAATTGCTTTTAGTGCATCTGAATTTAATGAGTAAATAAAATTATTGAATGTGAAATGGAAGATGTGTACAATTTTAAGTCAAGAAATCACACTGCCTAGCCAATTTCCATCTATGTGGATAGAAATAGTTTTGTGCGTCACTGCAGTGTTAGGTGGGGAGATAACAGAGAGGGAAAGACTTCTGGTGCGATTAAGTCTGGCAGACCTCCCTGATCATTCAATAACTATGCCAGTCACTACATCTTGACTCGTAAAATAACTCTTGGGGAAAAGGTCAAAAAAGATTAATGAAAAGTTGTTTGTGATCTGGCTTGTTCCAGCTGAGAGACTATATAGAACAAAAGATTTATGTTCTCTTAACAGATATTTAATAGGAAAACTCACATTTTGAGTCTAAATGTCAGAATCATTTCTGATATCACACTTTTAGCAGCCTCACATCCTACAAAAACACTTCCTAAGAATACTTTTGCTTTATAAGCTCTTATTTTTCCAAGGCATTAAGTACCACAGTATCTAGAAATCAATCATTTCATAAAGGCTACTAAATATGTGCATAATGTTGGTGTCATAGTAAACTATACATGGATCAGAAAAGGTTAATATTCCAGGAAGTAACTTTCCCCCCAATTCAAATAAGACATTTCATTGCTGTTTATATTAACTAAAATAAAAGGGAGGGCTGAGAAAAAGTCACTGAAGTATGTATCTCAATTATTAATGTCTGGTTTAATTTACTGCACCTAATTTATGTTATAGCTCAGACATGCAGTTAAAATACTTTTGCAAAAATTGTACATTGTGGTCTAAGAGCATAGACAAAAGGAGATTTAAAAATCATTTAAAATTGGACTTCCTGGGGCTGGGGATTTAGCTCAGCGGCAAAAGCGCCTGCCTGGCAAGCGCAAGGTCGTGAGTTCGGTTCCCGGTACTGGAGAAAAACCAAAAAAAATAAAATAAAATAAAATAAAATAAAATTGGACTTCCTTAAAATAGTTGGAGAAAAAGATTCTCTTTTCAGATACCATAGGGTATTGTTTTGTAGCATTTTATGAGTGTTTTAAATTTCCAGCTAAAAGTATTTTTTGCTCCAGTTTCTTCCCTTTCATGGGCCAGCCTGAAATAGGTCAAACACTAGGAAAATACAACCTGTTAATCGGAACAAGGGACTTTACAAATTCCTGAACTGCAGTGTACAGATATGTGTGCATTTGCTTCTTGGGAAAATCGTTGAATGTACAATGTCAAAATAAAACCTGATCTTTCTGGAGAAATCTTCTAGCGTATACCCCAAACTTTATTTTTTTCTGAGAGATCATACTAATGATTTTGCAAACAGCTATGTGTCTGTATTAGAATGAAGATGAGGGATAGTAGTTGATGGGTTTTTCTGGCACAGAAAGAAATAAAACAGAAAAAACTGCCTTTCTTGCCAGCACAGAGAAGACTACAGTAGTAAGGAGGGACATGGAGCTTCTGAAGGCCTGGCTCAGAGAACAATGGCTGTATAGGGCCAGGCTGGAGGTGGGGTTTAGGGGGTGGACCACCTGACATGGCACACCAGGATTGGGTGGGAGCATGGGAAAAGGAAACAGGATATTACAAAAGGGGAATAGGAGGTCATAGTTTGACTCAGAGGGAGGAGGGAGGGGCTTAGCACATGGCCTCTATTGCACAGCACCATAGCAACTTGGCAGGAATCTTAGCGAGGTCAGAAACCCCTCAGTAGTATTCTTTTGATAACGTGTCCTAATAAAAACAAATATCCTGTCTCAACATCTCGCCAATGTAGGTTTCATATACATATTTTTTTCAGTATATTTCCATATATAAATACAAATGCATTATGTGCTTAAATAGTTTTTGACACAAAAATGTTTTATATTTTTTCCTAGTTTTGAGTTTTAAATGCATAACATTGGCTTATGTAAAATGAATCAAGGTTGGGTTGTGAATTTTTAAAAATGTGGAATGGTTATCTCACTGCAGATATCAGCCCACCTGCCCAAGGAGTGGACCACAGACAAGTACAGAAAGAACTAGGGGACGTCCTTGTTCGCCTTCACACACCAGTTGTGCTGACTCCTACTACTGTCCAGGTCACATGGACGGTAAGTTTTCAAAGATTATATTAGGCTTCCTATAGTGTCATAAAGGCTCTCTATTTCCTTAACAAAACTAAAACAAAAGGAAAAGTGCAAATAGACGAACCAAAACTAGCAGTTAAACCCCTCATTATTTAAAATCAAGGCATATTCAATGATAATAAAGGAAAATATTCCATGGATGAAATAGAGTAAGAGTAACAAATTGTGATATAAACATGACTTTTCATATTCTGAATGTTCTAACAGCTTTATTGAGACATAATTAACACACCCTAGTTAAAGAATACAAATGAATGTTTTTAGTATACTTAAGGGATTTGAAGTCATAGCAAAATCTAATTTTAGAGTATTTCATTATCCCCAAATGAAACTTGTGTCCATTAGCAGTCCTTCTGTTCTCATTACTTTACTCCAGTGTATCCAATAATTTGCTCTGTATTTCTATAAATGTACTTATACAAGACTTTTCATGTGTATAGAGCTGTGTAATAATTCTTTGTATCAGACCTCTCTAACTCCATGTAATGTTTTTGAGGCTCACGTCATAACATGGGTACTGTAGTAGTTCATTCTCCTCTGCTCAGGGTAGTAGACCCAAATAGTACTCCATTCGATGAATATGTCTTATTTTTGTTCCCTTTTCACTTGAAGAACTCTTGGTTGTTTGAATTTTGGGTACTATGTACACTGCTGCCATGAGAATTCATTATGTCCACATGCATTTTCATTCCAATTTGTACACAACTAAAATCTGTCAAATCATATGGTAGTGCCTACTTGATATTTTAATGAACTGCCAAAAGTTTTCAAGTGATTGCACCATTTTTTCTTCCAAACTGCAATGTTTGAACTTTCCAGTTTCTTCTAAATCATCTCAATTTACCTTCCACCCTCATCATATACTCTGTTTTTGGCTGTAGCAGTTCTAACATGCACTGCTGCATCATTGTGATTTCGATTTGCATCTCTTTAATGACTAATGATGTTTGTCTTTTCATATGCTTATCAGGCATTTGTATCTTTTTTACAGAAATTGTTATTCAAATTCTTTGTCCATTTTCAAGTTGGATTATTTATTTGTCATCTTATTATAGACTTGTGGGGATTCTTTATGTTCTGGATATGTCATTTATCAGAGAAAGGATTTACAAATATTGCCAATTTGTATGTTTTTTCATTTTGATGGCTTCATTGAAAGCACAAAAGATTTTAATTTTGATGGAGTTATCTTCTAAATTTAAATGAATCATCTTTGCACTCAACACTCATGCAAGAGACTCAAAACAGTTATACATTTTTAATAATTTGATAGACATAGTCAAAAGTTAGAGGACATTAAGAAATTGACATTTTCATGTATGTTAGGAAAGTTCATGTACTATGTATTATTAATTGTGTCAGAATACAATGGTAAAATCTTTTTGTCATATGATAGCAACAGTAGTAAAAATAAATAGCATGGAAGCAACAATATTACTTATAGCAGAAAAAAATATATATATATTTTGTTTTTTCTTTAGCAGAAAACATTGGTGTGTGTGTGTGTGTGTGTGTGTGTGTGCTTATACTTTGAGAGGAGCCTGATAATATTCTTTGGCTAATATAATTAGCACCAACTTTTTATTTATGACCAAATTCCTTCATTACAAATCCTTAAAATTTAAAGAGAATTATATTAGTATGATAGAAATTTACAACTACTTAAAGTTTTCTGTGTATGTAGAAAAATATATATAAATAATGAATATTTGAATAGGCATAAGTGCAAGAATTTTCACTTTAATTATAATGTTTATTTGGAAAATACATATAATTATTCTCTCTTGTTGGCTTGGGTAAATATTTAATAAAAATTAGACTAAGTTTGTAATGATTGTTTAGGAATACAATGTTTCTAATACCACTTTAATAAAATTTTGCAGAGCCTTTGTCTATATTTTGCATATAATGATTTCTATCCTTTTGTTCCTATGAAAGGAACATAATTCTCTTATCATTATTCCAGTGGCACAGTGAGAATTATATCTGCTGTGCTTTTTCTCTTTCTCAGTACCTTCGACTATATTAAAAAACAAAACAAAACAAAAAAAAATAAGCTACCAAAACAAGGAAATTATTGTTTTTCTTAGCAGATTTTTCTCTTATTCTAAATTGAAAACATGTTCTTTGCTCTATTGGCAGTTTTAAAGGGGCTTCTTTTAAGGTGCTTCTAAGTGAAGGAAATATTTGGGTAAGAATCCAAGTCATTACATTTATAATGTTAGTCACTTTAAGATTCACTAAGTTTAAAAGAGTATATCAGGTTAGATCAAAACTGCATGTCAGTAAATTGTCTGTTTTTCCAGGAAAAAGGGAGAGAGCAGGCCATATTCTTTTATGTGTCCCTAGATAACCTCTCACTACTACTCTGCATAGCTATCTGCCTCAGCGGCAGTGACTGCTGTGAATCTAGGGATAGTGTTGGTTTGTCCAGAGCCCAGTGCCTGTTATGAAATACTCTTTAAGTAACTGTCTAAGGAAGTGTTCATATCAGTTATTTTATATTCCTACAGTTTTATTTCAAAAGCATAAGGGATTCCTACTATCACAGGGTGTTGCTCCTTGTGAGTTCTTAGTTACATGAGATATGAGTATCTGAGAGAGGTTAGGTTTAATGTAATCAAGTCAGGCTGGGTGTGGGGCCAGTTGCCAAAGAAATTGCATTTTATTTCCATATATTTTCAGTTTACTAAATATATATGTTGTTTAAATTATTACATTATTAGTATCTAAGTTACACATCTGTTGGGGTTTGAGAGAAGTAATATATGCTCCAGCCAATTTTTCTAGATCTGAGTTTAGCTTAGGTGGTTAACCGAAGAGCTGCAGGATTCAAGTATCAAAAACACATGACATTTGTTTGGGAAAAGCCAGCAACGATCCAAGGCTAAAATTAAAGCAATAATATTAATGGTGGCTTCTTTCTGAAAAATGAATGCTGATATGAAGGATGAGTGAAAATGATAAAAAAAATAGTTACCATACAAAAGAAAATGATAGTAAGTCACTTGCTGAAAATGATTGTTTTAGTGTATACTTTTGTTTGTTTTTGTTTTTATTCTAAAACAAAAAGAAACACAGATTCTTAATATCACTAGGATGGAAAAGAGTGATTTTTAAATCACTCAGTGGTTTGTGTATATATTGTTTCATCAATTTTTCATGCCTATATCTTGTAATATGAGCAACTACTTTGAAGATAACATACTAACCAGTGACTCTCCTACTATCTTGTTTTGAAATTTTCTATCATTGTTTTTTGTTTTTCTCTTTAAAATAAAATAAATAAGTACATCACTCAGCAGCTAGGCCCATCAAAGAAAATTCATTATGAACTTTTTGTTTAGATGAGGTTTCTTGATTTCTGTCTTATTTATAAATTGAAAAGATAGCTATTGAGCATTTCATTTAAAATTTTGGTTAAAATTCTAACTTGAAGGTCACATGTGAGTCTCCTTTTTTTTATATATCCCTTCTTTAACAAAGAAAAGCTTTATCATTGCATATTTCTACAGTTTACAAAGCATTTTCACCTAAATTAGTCATTTGATTACTTCTGTGCCCTTGAGATGTAGGCATTATCTGACAAAATTAAGTGTAGTAAGGCTCAGAAAGTTGAAGAGACCATGCTGCAGTTCAAATGGAAGCCTTATGACCGCAAGTATGAAGTTCTCTTCATTATTACACTTTTTCCTTTGGAAAGTTCTTTTCCACTCATATATTAAAAAATGCTACTTTTTAAAAGTTGTATAAAACCCATGAATTGGTGACTAGACTCTGATCGTAATCATCTCCAAAAGAATATCTCTTATAATCCAGTTATTAATGAAACTAGTAAGAAGCAGATGGTTTAACTGAAAAGTGATCATCTGTCAAAATGAGCTCCAAAAGTTAGGGGTATAGAACACATATCCAAAAAAATCTGCACATTTTTAAGGTAATGTTCAGGAAACATGCGACAACAAATTTTCTCTCCCCCAAAATGCCAAGGCATACACAAATTTAAGTCAAACTATTTAGTTATTAAGTAGGCCATTACTATGCACTAGTTATTATACTAGTTATTAAGGAGGCCATTACTATGTACTAGTTATTATACTAGTTATTAAGGAGGCCGTTACTATATACTAGTTATTTTACTAGTTATTAAGTAGGCCATTACTACATCCTAGTTCAATACAGTGCTCACTGAAGTGAACAAAGCAATGCTGTGCAGTAAACATTAGCTTCATAGAGTCCCTAAAACACTTAATTAATGAAAACCAAACATGGATAAAGCCAATTTACCCTGATTTACAGACTCCCTTCATCTGGAAACAGCTGCTTAATGTTCTTCTTAAAAACACAGCTTGATTCTTTCAGTATTAACAAGCTATTATTGTGAGTTATGTCTTTCTCTCAGTATATAAATTCACTTAAAGCAAACGCAGAGAAGTTTATAAAATGTAAGCTTAATGTTGTTTTAACGTATGTTGTAAGAATTTTTTTGAACTTTGACAGTTGTAATGAAAGGCATCTCTCTTTGACTCTCATAAATTTGACTTTTTACTGCTTGGTTGTCTTATATTTTAATGTTAGAACAACTGCTTTAAAAAATTATGTCATTTGGTACCAACGTGGTAGTATGGATGATACTGAAAGACCATGAGCTTCCAAGTTAGACTCCAAAGTGCATTTTCTTAATATAGCTTTGTACAATTTCCAGTTCCTAAAAATCTAACTGGTTAGAAAGCTGTCAAATGGAGGAAGAAATTCCCATTGTTGATACGCATTTGAAAGATTGAAATTAGCTGTAAAAAAATAAACACTCATATGCATGTCTTCATAAAGGTTTCTAACTTGGACAACGTACACATAGAAGAATGCTCTTTCATTCCACCCTATTTTGCTTGAAGTTCCACACTTTAACACAATAAAGCAAATATTTTAATCTGATAGTTACTGATGTGCTGCCTTCATTTACAGTATTAATAAAACAATACTGTGACAAGAAGTGTTAGAAATTAATGCATTAAATAATACCTTTTGTTTATAGCGTGCTGACAGTTGGATAAAGAAATTTTTTAAAGCTGAAATAAATATCTGCACCATCACCTTTTCTATTTCTTTTTTCTCCACAACTTTCTTGAAATTAGGTAATTTAATTTTTTCCATTAATCCTTATATTTTATTTGAAAGTCAAATGTGTCAAGTTGAAAGCTTCTTGGAACATTGCTATTAAACTCTGACATGGGGCGTCAATCAGGAATAGTGCTGTGATGATTTACGTTTAAGCCAAGCATTTCTAGAAACAAGAAAAGCTATTTAAAAGCTATTTTAAAAAAAACAAAAATCTTAAACTCTTTTTCTCTTTGAAACTGAAACAACTATAAAACCCCTATAAGATTATATAGTAAATGTATAAAGAGAACGTTTCATTTTTTATCTTGCTTTTATATGTATTTAATTTCCATGTACTTATAACTTTGTAAAAAACCCTTGTAAAAAAAAAATCTATTCAATATGAATTTCAATTGTCTCACATTATTATTGAAATAGCTACTGTCACATAAGAGATAAGAATGTGGCCAGGTCAAGAGTAGAACTTATTGGGCATGGTAGTACAGATCTGTAATCCCCGAATTGGAGGCTGAGGCAGGCTCTCCATGAGCTTAGGACTTCAAAGCCAGCCTGGACTACATAGTGAGCTCCAAGCCAGCCTAAACTACCTAGCAAGACCCTGTCTCCAAAAAAAAAAGTAGACCTTTTGAAGGAGTAAGGAAAACACAACTGGTTTCTATTGAGTAGTTAGTGATGAATATAAATTTCCCCTTGCATTTTAAACAAATATCTAGCTTCACAATGTTAATCTCTCTCTTATGCTTCTTTGAGCCACAGGGGTTATTCGCTTTCTGTCCCCCATTTCTTCCTGGGTAAACCAAGCTCTTTCTATGGATGGCAGAACTCATGTGGTCTTCAGGGAAACCATCTCCCTATCCTGACTCAGTCAGCTTTGCTCCATTATAAATTTCATACTTTCTGGTGCATCTCATTCATAAAATTGGCTTTTGCCTATTTTCTTAAGATTGCAACTTGACCTTGGTTGAAGTGATGATAAAAATGATGCCCACCTTTCCCCTGGACACTGAGCTCCATGAGGACAACAACTGCCTCTATTGTTACTGTTTTCCCTTCAGATCTTAGAGAATTCCAGGCTGCTAATAATAAAAAAACGTGTTTTGGGAGCGAAGTTGTTAGTGAATGGATATGGGGTAGGAGCTGAAATCTGACAAATCTGAAATCTGGCCCATTACATGTAAAACTCCAAAAAACAGAGATTTGTTAACTGGAAAAAAGGCCAAGCAAATGAGAAATTAAGCTAAAAATGATTGACAGGTCTGGGCATTGACAGGACATTGTGCTAATCCAAGGAATCTGAATTGATTATGTAGACATCCTAGATATTGTGAGGTGTTTAAAACAGTGGATGGAGTTGTTCCATTCTTTGTTTTAGAAATCAGCTTAAGAGCAATGTGTGTTTTGAATTGAAGAGATTATTAGAAGCAGGGGAATGAATAAAAAAAAATGTGGCATCACTCCCACAGGGTCCCAAGGGCTGGAATGGGACAAGAGAAGAGGGGCTGGGCCCGCTGCCGTGTCTGACATCCTTACGTGCAGTGTCAGCTGCCTTTTGCTCTGCTTCAGGTGGATCGCCAGCCGCAGTTTATTCAAGGCTACCGAGTCATGTATCGTCAGACATCAGGACTGCAAGCTACGTCATCCTGGCAGAATTTGGATGCCAAAGTCCCCACTGAGCGAAGTGCTGTCTTATCCAGTCTGAAAAAGGGGGTGACTTACGAGATTAAAGTTCGACCCTATTTTAATGAGTTCCAAGGAATGGATAGTGAATCTAAAACGGTCCGTACTACTGAAGAAGGTCAGTATCCAGAATGTGAATGTGAAGCAAACTTACTCCGCCGTTAAACCAGTTTTATTACAGTTCTAGCTTATCACCTTCCTTGTAAGACTGGAAAGGGCTCATCTAAAGGAAGATGTGCACAAGACCTGTCATTTTCCTCTTATATTCTGAGCTTCTATAGAATCTGACCCATCCCACACTGACTAACAGAAAGGTAGAGAAAACGACTGAGTTTGAATTTTTTAAACATTTACCCCAAATCTTTTATTCAGTACATTTGTGTTTGATTATAATATATTCCCATGTTTTTATGTAGATGTAGCCCACTTGGTTTCAGTAAACTAGACCGTAGAAAACCCAAGAACATGGGTTATTCACAGTGCTGATTCTTTTCATGTTTTACTGAAGTGTGATATTTCTTTCACCATAGACCCTGCCTGTCTGGCCCACAATTTCTAATTTGGAAAGCCACTTGCATGTTTTCCATAGCTTTCTATTGTAGACTTCCTTCGCACTCACTGCTGTTGGAAGCATTTTAAAGTCAGACTCTGATGTACTAAGATTAATACTGGTTTCAGGCAGTCCAGTTTCTAGTGTTTTCTTTACTGAAGGAGAACCTTATAATTTTCTCACCAAAGTATAAAAGTGTGGTGGTGCCAGGCATGGTGGTGCACATCTGTAATCCCATCATTCTAGGAAGCTGAAGCAGGAGGATTGTAACTTAGTGACTTAGTGAGACCCTGTCTCAAAATGAAAAATAAAAAAGGAGTGACTATGTAGGGCATTGTGGCAGTCCTGTATTCAATTCCCAGTAACACAAAAAAGTGAGATAGCAAAACAAAAACCAACCCCAATTCTGCTTTGTACTAATTTTTTGTGTATACTTTGTGCACAAAGCCTTTCTTTAGGTGTGTCCAACTGTAGGCCAAAGGATGGACAGGAAAACATACTTTGTACAAAATTATTTAAGATCAGTGTTAAGAAAATACATATGGTTTACACAAGCTAACCTGTAGATATTCATATTTTACCAAGAGATTTAAATTATACATTTTTTAAAATATGATACACAGCAAAAATATTATCTTCACATTGCTTTACAGTATGTTGTACTGGCAGAGGAGGAATGCATACTTTTGACGGTGTCATTAGGTTATATTAGGATATGTAAAGAACAGAGTTAGTAAAAAGTGTTAATATATTTTAGCCACCATGAAAACTTACCTTAAGTTGCAAATTGCTAGAGCTGGTTAGTGGGAAGCATAACTTTAGTATAGAAGGTGATGTTTGAAGCTTTTTTTTCCAAAAATCAATTACACTGCAGTGAGACTTTTCCTCTGGAGGAGACATTTGTCACCATTCAGTATACATTCATCTCTGATTTCTGCAGCTTGCGGAGGTAACAAATGAAACTCAGCTGGGATATGTCTGGGAACGATGAGCTGTGATTTGGGTTCTTTCACAGGTGTGGGAGGAAGCTGAGTACTGGAATAATTGACCTGTCAGAAAGCAGGCTCTCTTGCCAAGCCCGCAGCAAGGAGAACGAAAAGCCAGTTTCAAAAGTGTTATTTTTTAGTGCCGTCCACTTTATAACTACAAAGCTGGCAGACAAGTCGTCAGATTTATGTCGTCATGTCTTATTTTGGAGCAATATTGTCACGTAGAAAAATAGCAAAGAATAAATTGTATTAGTCTATATCTAGGTAGCTTTTATATCATAATGCAATATGGTCATATCTCCATGAAATATGTCATGACAAACTTACCAAACATGGGAGACGTTATCAACAAGCTATTAAAGTATCTTTTCGGATATTTGGGGTATTTTCAAGGGACTAAACTATGGAGAGGTATGAACGTATTGGTAGTTTTACATAATATTTAATGACACAAAATTCTTTAATTGCTTTAACTGAAAAGGAGGATTTTATATGGTACTCTGATTTTACTTCCTCTGTTTCGTTGAAATTCAGACACTGATCGAAAATAGATGAATTTTTTAGCAAAATTGGTACTTCTTAGCTGTCAGAGAGACAGGAGGGAAGACGCTGCAGTCTAAAGTCACGAATAGCTTCTCAGACATCTTCTCTCAGTATGGTTTTAATTAGTTATAGGAGAAACTATAAAAGAAGGAAATTACTGTAGGAGATCAGAATTTGCCCATTTCACATTTGACCCAACATGAACCTGTTTTCATTTTTATCATTAGAACCCCTTGCCCATCCATATAAAATAAATTTTAAATTTTAAATTATGGGTCAGTTTATAACAATCAATTATTTTTCCCTGTGTGAAAAGGATTGCTTTTCTTTGTTGGCAAAATTTACAGCTGTGTGTCCGTTCTCATTTAGTAAATACAAATGAAAATAATACCAAATAATCATCAATAATGCCACCATACAAAAATGGCACCTGGTAAAATTTGGGTATATATCCACCCATAATATTACTGGTTAGAAACAATGCTTTGTTGTTGTTATTGTTTAGTTTTTTTTAAAAAAGTGTATTAGTATTTAAATAATGAAAGTTCAATAATCAGACCTACTTGAGTTCAGATTTTGACTTGGTGGTCAACTTAGATAAATTATTTGGCGGCTGGGGATTTAGCTCAGCGGCAAAGCGCCTGCCTGGCAAGTGCAAGGTCATGAGTTCGATTCCTGGTACCAGAAAAAAACTAAAACACACACACACACACACACACACACAAAAAAAAAAAAATAGATAAATTGTTTGTTATAGCTTGTTTCCTCATCTGTAAAACTGAGATAAGAGTTGTTTTTGCCTCCTGAAGTCATTATGAGAATTAAAACTGACATTTAGCTCTGTGCTGACCCTATAAAAAACACTCATTCCAATGTGCGCTGTTAAATTAATTATTGAATGTATATTACCACAACTGTTACATTTGCTTTCCAATGTGCATTGAATTTAAAGGTTATATTTCAAAAAGCTGTTGCAATAGAAGATCATATGCAGACTCAGGACCACTAGAAGTCAGAACCTCATAGGTCCTGTCTTTCTATTCATAATCTGAAGGCAGGATAATAGACAGAGAGGCTTACAGTTTACGTTTATTCCATTATTTCCTCTACAGCCCCAAGTGCCCCTCCACAATCTGTCACCGTGATGACGGTCGGAAGCCACAATAGCACAAGTATTAGTGTTTCCTGGGATCCTCCTCCCCCAGACCATCAGAATGGAATCATCCAAGAATACAAGGTAAGCCCTGGTGAAGAAAAGAAGGCTCACAGAAAAAGTTGCCTGGGGAAAGCTCAGCATGATAAAACCAAGGCTTATCTCTGAATCGTTTACCTAAATAGAAGTTTAGAATATTTAGTTCTGGGTAGTAAAAAAGTAAATTCCTAAGTTCATTAACACACACATACAAGAGCCACATAGTGGTTAGTTCTTTAGTGTTCAAACAATGCTGTAACACTTGTAAAACTTTACAATCTATATAACTATGCTACAATAAAGGCATTTATTCTTATACCTCTTAACCATGTGTGACAGTTAGGCTTAATCATCAACTTGACTGGTTTGGAAATCACCTAGGTGATGATTAATGTACAATTCTGAGTGTGGGTGGGTTATCAAGGCATCACGTTGGGTACTATATATACTTTTAGATTGTCCAACTAGGTTTTGGGTCTACCCCCCTGAACCCAATTTCCCTGTCTGTCACACACAGCCAGAGTCACTTTGCCCTTAAACTGAATTAAATTTTATAAATTATAAAATTTCTCACTCATGATAAACCTGTCATATTTTGGTACCAAAGTGTATTTTTAGGTGAGGGTTAAATATTTTCCCATTAATAGCAAAGATATCATCTCTAAATAAAAGAAAAATGATTCATAAAAATAATTTTGCTTTTCAAGCAAATCGTATATGTTCCTACACATCTCTATAATTTATAAAATATTATGTAATATATATGAGTACAAATATACACAGTGGAATTCTCTTTATAATCATTTTACAGGAAATAGATGTCCATATCTCTGAAGTAAATATGCCCTAAAATTTGATTTCTACTTGGAATGAGAGCCCAGCTGCTTTAACATCAGTGTCTAAAGACTTTCTTTCACTTTGTTCTTCTGTGTACCTGTTTACATGTGTGTACATGTTTTGATGAATATTGATTTATTAGTGTCAATAAAATTATTGGCTTTAATTTTAATTTAGTCAATATCTATAATTTAGGTCAATTAATCTTGACCTAAAGGAATCTTAACTAGTCATTTATAAGTTAACATTTTCTTAAATACACTATATATTACTCAGATGCACACATATATACTTAGGTGTCATAATTCATAATTACTATACTTATAGTAGATTATTACAAAATAAATTTTGATGAATAAAGTGGAGAAAATGATGTGTTTTAATCCATACCAGAAGGCTATTTGCAGCCGAAGGCTATTTTCCATAGGTGCTTAAGGAATCATTGTGCCTTTTAAATTACTCATTATGAGGATTCGGTGCTAATAGATATAAATGAACATAACAGAGTTTTACCTTCTCTTGCTGTCTTTGTTTCACACATATGCTCACACACACATGCACACACACGCATACAATGGGCTTGGGTTTGCACTCTAGAAAATGCCGTTTACAAAATACTTCATTAAGCCCAGAGAATAGATTAAACACTATGAAAATATTTAATCAATTATAGCCTAATTCCCAGAAAGGAAGTTTCATGTTTACTTGTTTTCATTACCCGTTTCTGTAGATCTGGTGTCTAGGAAATGAAACTCGATTCCACATCAACAAAACTGTGGATGCTGCCATTCGATCTGTAATAATTGGTGGATTATTCCCAGGAATCCAATATCGGGTAGAGGTGGCAGCTAGTACCAGTGCAGGGGTTGGAGTAAAAAGTGACCCACAGCCAATAATAATTGGTGAGTATCAATCTATATGGTCTGTATTGTAGTATCAGACAATTGATGTCAAGATAGTTCTTTTTTATTTTTAATCTATATCCTTGGATATATACTTATGAGTGTTAGGGGAGCAAACATCGTAAATGTAAATGAGTTAAATGACTAGGATTTTTGTAAAAATGATGGGTACATTTTTTCATGTTCTTAAGAATCCCCCAAATCTTACAACTACAGTAACTTAGTTTACTAAGTTACTGAAAGGAGCCTTAAAAATTATTTTAAATCTGTACATTCATTAGTAATGTTGGTGTCATTGAAATATAGGACATGAGAGTTACAGAGTACATTAAATCTAAATCTGTATGCTTCCACTTATTCAGAAAAATGTCAAAAATTAACTAGCACCAAGCCAAAAGAAGCTCTGTAACCCAAATACAGTATCCCAAGGGAGAAATTTATATGAAATCTGCTACCATCTTTGCACAAAATTGTACCCTATTATCATAGATTATGTTCATCTGGTCTTGAAATGTATACAAATGGAGTTATGCAGAATATGATATTTTATGTCTGGTTTCTTTCACTAAGTTTAATTTTTTTAGTGATTCACCCATGAGTGTATTATACAATTCATATGTTTTATTGCTGAGTGGTATTCAATTGTATGAATATACCATATTTTGGTTTATCTGTTAGTCTCTTTAGAGTGAACATTCTTATGTAAGCATTTTTTGAGGACACATGTTTTCATTTCTTTCATAGAAATACACAGGAGTAAAGTTTCTGGCTAATAGGATGGTAGAGTTTGACTTTATAAGAAACTGCTGAACAATTTTCAAATTATTGTAGCATTATATACTCCCAATAGAGAGGAAAAGGATTTCCCGTTTCTCCACATTATCAAAAACTTTTGATGCAGCCAGTCTTTGTAATTTTAGCCATTCTAGTAGATCTGAAAAGTAATTCCGTATGAATTTAAGTTAATGATGCTACACAGTTTCTTATTTGTTTATTAGCCACTCATGTAAACTTTTCATGTCTTTGCCTTTTAATATTGAGTTTCTTATGTATTCTGGATACAAATTCTTTGATATATATTATTTCTTCCTAGTATGTTATTTCCTTATTCATTTTCTTATTAGTGTTTTTTGATGAAGAGCACTATTTTTTTTCCCACTCATTGTTTTTTTGTCTACCAGTAGATAATGAGAACATGTTCTTATATTTTCCTCTAGAAGATTTATAATTTTAGCTTTTATAATTGTCTATAATTCATTTTAAATTAATTACATGTGGTTTAAGGATTGAGGCTTGTGGATTTCCATATGTATATTGAGTTATAGAGGTAGCATTTATTGAAAACAGTTTTTCATTTAGTTAACCATATATGCGTGGATCCATTTCTGGATCCATGTTTATATTTGTTTATAAGCTCAACCACATGGTCTTGATTACTGTAGCTTATGGTAACTCTTGAAATCAGGTAATGAGAATACACCACCATTTTCTCCTGCAAAATTGTTGTGACTAACATAGGCCTTCTGTCTTTTCATATACAGTACTTTAAAATAAGTTTGTCAATTTCTATAAATTTTGGTGAAATTATGATTGAAAATGCAGTGAATCTACCTTTCAAGTTGGATAAACATAGTAATAGTGAGTCTTTCTATCCAGCAACATGACATACATTTTCATTATAGAAGTCTTCTTTACTATATTCCAACAGTATTTTGTAGTTTTCAGTGTGAAACTTAACAAGTTTTGTTAGATATTTTCCAAATATTTGATATTTTTTATGCTGTGATGAATGAACTTTGCAATTTCCCTTTTGAACTGTTTTATTTCATATATCTATCTATATATGTGTGTATGTTTATATATATGTGTGTGTATATATATATATGTATAGTTTTTATACTGCTTTTATATCTTGTGACTATACTCACCTGTCTTAGTCATTTTATAGTTGTGAAAAATTTTTGAGTAAATTCAAATCATTGTGTTCTTTCTTTTTTTTTGTAATAAATTGACACAATGAATTACAGTGAATGTTTCTCAAAGGTAAATCAACTTTGTATTCCTGGGATAAATCCCACTTGGACCTGACATGTTTTCTTTTTTACATGTGTTGCTGTATCTGATTTACTAGCATTTGGTAAAGAATTTGCATTTATGTCCATGAGGGAACATGAAGACATTGGTTGATAGTGTTTTTGCTTCTTTCATTTGTTTTTCCTTTTCCTTCATTTAAGGTAGGAAAAGAAGCAGGCTCTGCAGAGAGGGTTTGGGCCAAGTAAAAGCAAGGGAAGAAGTGCAACCTGCAGGGTGAGGAGGATCCACTAGGCAAGAGAGAACATGGTGGCCAGTTTTCCTGAACTTTAAATAAAAAGTCTAATATGTTTATCGGGCTCCCTGACTAGATGAAATATAAGCTGCAAGCAGTGGTTTCTCTGCGGTGGATATCAGCCAAAACCTGTTCAGTCATAAAGCATTCTAACTTTTGCTTTTCATCTGATTCTTGCAACTTTCCTCCTAAATGCATGTTCAGGGATGACCCCAGTATTTAAGCAATGATTATTGGCAAATTTGGGAACATCACTCTCCACCGGCCCTGTCTTGTACCTGACTTATCCTTCAATTTTCAGTCAGTCTTGAAGCGCTGCACTCTATCCTGTGATATATCACACTGAGGACATGGAGCTTTTCCAGGTTAGGCAGCTTCCCTCCACTGCAGAGATGAAGGATCTCTCTTAACGCTCAGAAATGTAGATTTCCTCTAGCAGATCTCTTCATTAAAGAGGCAAATCCCTTTCTCTCTTCCCTATGCTTATTTGCTTGGTAATGCCTTCAATTAAAAAAAAATATATTCTTCCAAGATATAAAATATTTTAAAATTTTTGGCCTGAGTTCATAAAAGCCATTCTTGTTTTCCTGTTTGTTTTCTGAATAGATGCATAGAGAATGTATTGCCAGTTTCTGGGTAATTAATTCTATCACAAAGGATTTATTACAGTTAGACAGATATGCATCAATTCACAATGATAGTTTTTAGATTATCTACATTTTCTTTATGTGTTAAAAACATTGAAGATAAAAGTTAAAGTCTTACCTTTTCTGTAAATTGCCTTTCTTTCTTAATTAGTTGCTCAAACTGAATTAATTCCTTAACCTGAGGGAAACCTACAATCGTGCCCTTCTGAGATTTTCTAAAATAAATTGGAGTAAGAAAGGAATATAGGTACACCTAAAAGGACTTAACAGATATATATATTTTTTTTTTCCTTAGCTTATGGCATTTAGAAATAATCCATTAGCTTTTCACTAAAGCAACTGTATATAAAGTATGCTTTTGTGAGATGACCTATGTAAGTAAATAAACTTTGGTTTTTATTGGCGTTTTAGTATGTATATGAAATGCATTGAGAGACTAGAATTATTTAAAGACAAGGAAGGTTGTCAAGTAACTATATCTCCCTATTGTATGTTTCTGATATCTTCTTTAATAAATGTATTTGTTAAGCAGGGAAAGTTTTCTTTCTTTTTTTTTTTTTCCTGTGACAGTTATGTGCTTCCCCATATATTGTACAGCTATTGCTCTAGAAGTCAAGTAAAAAATAGCAAGCATATGATATAACCTAGCTGAAGTCATGACAGACCATAGTTATATACTATGAAAATGAATGGTAACTTAATAATAAAGTTAACTTAGATTACTGTAAATCAAATAGAAAGTTTTACTGAACTCTTCTGTCATTTTAAAAGGACTAGGTTTCCAAATGGATAATGAAAACCTTTTAATTTATAACTTACAGTAAGTACCCTGCAAGTGTCAAAGTTTTCAGTGAAATAAAAACAATCTAGTAAATGATTTTCCAATATCCTTTTCAAAAAATTATAAGATGCTATGCTCAAATGGTAATCATATAAAATAGAAGTGTAGTACTTTTAACAAACACATGTATGCACACAGACACATCAACACAGTTCAATCCAGACAAACCTGTTTGTCCTCATGAGATTTATTTCTTTTTAATATCTCCTGGTATAGTGAGAAGCCCCCTCATTGTTTCTTTAATTATCTCTCCATATCTAACTTTGCATCTTGTCTGATAACACTGTCTCCACAGTTGTTACTCCCCAGTGGAATAGTGATTTAGTGCTGGCCAACCCTTTCTATTTCCATCCATGCTTTCCGCATTGTCTATTCAGTACTAGAAACAGCAGTGAGAGTGACTGAAGTTCTACCTCATTTCCTTTTGCCTTAATTAAATCATGTATTGGCACTGGGTGTAATTTATGATTCATAATTTTAGATTTGTCCTACACCAGACCATATACAATTTCATCTGCTCCCGCTTAGTTTAGTCTCCATTTCAAATAGTGCCATGAAGGGACCATTAATTAAAATGCTTTAGAAATATATTGCACAATTCACACAAGCTTAAAATTAGCGTTCTTCTCTCTTCAGTCTCCTATGGAAAAGTCATTTTTACATGACAGTGTCCGTAATTCTATACATTAGGCCTAGAGACACAAAAATGAGCCAAATGTGTTCACATATACAACCATCAAACTGTATGTCACATAACAAATTTATGTGACTTAAAATTTTTAGTAATCTTGCTTAATAATTTAGTTATTATTTCTCTAATTATTTGGCCTTTTCATGCTTATGTTTCATAGTTGGTAATAATATGTGGAACAGCTGCAAACTTTCACAGTAATAGGTACAATTGAATCTGATGTGTCTAATTAATTTTTAGTCCAACAAATTAGTTTTGTTCTTCATTACTCTCCAATGGGAGGGAGACATTATGTTTCATTATATTTTTTGTCTACAAGAACAACGGAGCGTTACAGGTCACACACACCCTTGCCTGTGCTTTAATTAGTCCAACTGACAACACTATTTCTAAAAAACTAGCCACATAGAAAAAGAAATATACCTTAGCTAATATAAATATTACATTATATTAAATATACTCTTTTATGGACTCCATGAAATGGAAGGGCAAATTTTCTTTTCTCTTGTTCTGTAAAAGTTGTTTTCTTTTTAGTAACTGCTAAAACTTTAGAAAATTACAACATCCCCCAATTCATGGGTTTTCTTTTTACTCTGATGGTGATTTCTTTTGATGTACGAAAACTTTTCAATAAGATGAGATCCCAGCTGTTGATTGTTTGAAGTATTTCTCCTGCAGTTTGGTTTTGTTCATGAACTCTCTGCCTAAACCTATATCTTCATGATTTCTATCTACTTTCTCTTCCACTAGATTTAGTGTTTCTGTTTTAATATTTATATACTTAGTATTTAAATATATATATTTTTTGTTTGTTTGTTTGTTTTGTTTTTTTTCGGTACTGGGAACCGAACTCACGACCTTGTGCTTGCCATGCAGGTGCTTTGCCGCTGAGCTAAATCCCCAGCCCCTAAATATTTAATATTTAGATCTTTGATCCATTTTGACTTTAGCGTAGTGCATGGTGATAGACATGGGTCTAGTTTTAGTCTTCAGCATGTGGAAGGCCAGTTTTTCCAGCACTATTTGTTATAGAGGCTATAGGAACAGTTAATGCCTAATTGATCAATTTTGCATGCCTGTATCTGATAATCTACACAACCACTTTGAAGATAACAATATGCAATATAGCAACCACTGTTAATTTCCTATATCTTGTTTTGAAATTCTGTATCATTTTTATTGTTCTTTATTCACTTTAAAATTTTTTAAAAAAGAAAATTGCAACACCTCTATTGGAAGTATAAGCTATTTTAAATATAGTTTTTATCCTGTTTATGCATATAAAAATAAAGGGCGACTTATGGAGTAGAACTTGTTTACTTAAATGAATCTGATTTTTAAGTTTGGAACTTAACATAAATGGCCTTTCAAGAATAAAGTATAAGTGTATATAAAGTACTGCTAACAACTATAACAAATAACCTTTCATTTTGATTGGCTTAAGTAAAGATTTCTTTCCTTTTTTTCTTTTTTGGTCCTTATTCACAGCCTATTTAATATAGGTCACTGGATAAAGGAATAAGCTTCTTTAGTCCACACCAGTAATTCTAAGTCCTTGTATCCTTCTAAGCAATAGTTCTACCATCTCTTAAAGACTCAGTATCTTCCAGCAGATTCTTTATTTCTGTTTAACACATTGGGACAGAGAAAGAGTACCATCAAGTGTTGTCACAGTGGTTTTATGGCTTAGTCTAGAGGTAATACCCCTCATTTGACCCTACAACTTCTGGCTAACATTCAGTCACTTTGTTGTACTCAACTGCAAGGAAGACTGGAAAACTTAGGCTAATTTTCTGCCCTGGAATAAAGGAGAAGCAATATGATAAGCAAGTCTGCTGTGAAAGTTGAGGTTTGTAAGATTCTCACATCTAGATGAATTATCACTTTTGGCCAAGCAATTAACTGAAAAGCTCTTAAAGTAACTCCTAGCATTACCTGAGCCGTAATTTTGAGTCAAAACTATGGTGCTCCTGATAACTTTTATCTATGAATCACCTTAATGAATCCGCCCAAATATATGAAGTAGTAGTACTGTTTCTAACTTACTGAAACAGGAGCTTATAAGATTAAATCCCCTCTGTAAGTTTGCTGCTGAATTACCTGGTAAGTGATGGAGACAATATCCCAAACTAGAACATCAAAAATCATGCTCTGTCTAATATATTACAGTGCTGTGATAACTGCAACAGTGATAACCCCACACATTCCTTTGTTGCGATGAGCTATGATATGCCATTTATCTTGGACTTATAATTTACTTTTGATTAAACACTATGTATAATATTAGCATGAGAAATCATTTAATTCTCACTTTCTAAATGGAACTATTAAATGAGCATCTATATCTTTGTTCTTCAATGATGTTATGATTCTGTAAATTCCAAGTCTATTTAAAATATTTGTATTTTCTTAATTACCTCTGAGAGGTCTAAATTTTCAAAGCATGACCATTTCTAGAATCCATATGTGAATTTTGTTTTATTTTAGAGATCCAAAGATGAATTGTAAAACTATCTTTTACTCAGAATTCAAATGCATTATCAAATTAATTTTAAACAGTATAAGGCAGTGATGGCAAACCTTTTAGAGATTAGTGCACAAACTGTAACCCAAAAGCCACTTATTTATCAAAAAGCCAACACTGCAATTAAACCTGAGTACTGAGGTTTTAGTTCAGAAAAACAACTCATACATTAGCATCTTTTGGCTTAAAAGAAAAACAAATAACACAGGTGCCATAGGTTCACCCACAGTGGTCTAAAGCGTAACATGAGTCTTACCCTTGCTTCATATTTAATTATGCATTCTAATCTCTATAAAATGTTTGCATAATTGTAACTATTTTATATAGTAGCTTTCATACTTTCCAGAAAATTAAAGTATATTTGTACAAACTAAAATCTCTAGTAGAATACAAAAAGGATATATAAAATTGTATAAGCTCGTTAATCATGACCATTTGGACATAGGCAATGCTCGGTAGAAAAGCAATTTCTAAAAACTCTTGTGTTAAATAAGTTGCTTTTCATAAGAACTATTTAAGAAAACGCTTTATCGAACCCAAGAAAAGTTGGTAGCTGGAAACAGTGTCACATGCCTGTAATCCCAGCTACTGGGGAGGCTGAAGCAGGAGGATGTCAGGCTGGAAACTAACCCTTGTCTCAGAATGGAGAAGGGAATAAGGCTGGGAATATAGCTCAGTGGTAGAGTGGTTGCCTAGCACTCACCCTGGGCTCAATCTAAAGTGCAAAAAAGGGAGAGGGAAGGACAGAAGAGGGGAGGGCAAAGGAGGGAAGTTAAAAGTCGGTGTTATTTCAGATCATACTGTGCGCTAGTTTACTTATTTATAAGGCTGTAACTCAAGAAGTATTTCAGAATTTGTTTATGGCCAATTAAAGGAGAACAGTGTTCTTAATCATACCTTTAAACACATGGTCTGATTTTTATTTTTAAACTTATAAAGCATGCTTATCAATAGTTAGAAGTGTAGGTCAAAACCAGTGTTACCTGAGCATACGCGGGAATTATGTGCCTTCGGTACACCACAGTGTGCTCTTGTGTCTGTTTGCATCTGAATATTCACTGACACTGTCACTTCTTCTTTAGGGGGACGTAATGAAGTCGTCATTACTGAGAACAATAACAGCATAACAGAGCAAATCACTGATGTTGTGAAGCAACCTGCCTTTATCGCTGGTATTGGTGGGGCCTGCTGGGTCATCCTGATGGGTTTTAGCATCTGGCTGTACTGGCGAAGAAAGAAGAGAAAGGGGCTCAGTAATTATGCTGGTAAGACATTATTTCCAGAAAATTCCAGAAATGTTCCAGTCTTTAGGAATGTAATAAAATGAAAAGATGAAATAGAGTGAAATAATGGATGATTTTGGCTTATTTTATGAACTACTCTGTAACATGCAATGGTAATCAATAGGCTTTAATACATTGGTCTTGATCATATCACTTTATGACTATAGGATTTATTTTGCTTGCACCTCCAAGGAAAAATAGCAACAGTACAACCCAATAAAATGCTCAGCTGTTTCTCTCTGCTACTTCTTCAAACCACACACAAACCTGCTTAAGACCATGCACACACACACTTTGCATGCTATGAAGTGATTATTTTAGATGTGTTTTTAGGCAAGAACATTGCTAACATGCTGAGAAATAAAAGGAGATTTGAAATATGGCTTTTAGTACATTGGGAGGCAGATTACAAGAGAGAATATCCCAGGTGGAAAAAATAAGCATAAATCTTACCAGAATTAATAAAATTGATAGGGCATGAATTAAATGATGTACAACTCACTAATTGCTTCACTGTATTTTAATGTGAACAAGCAGCATTTTAGGGAAGGAAAAAATCAGAAGCAAAAAAGAAAAAAAAACCTCAGATGGTCTATATGTTTATAAAGTTATTTTCTTCTTAAAATCCAAGATAGAGTTTCAAGGATGTCAGAAATATTATGTATATCTTATGAAGATGATATTTTTTATTTACTCTTTGGTATGCATTTCTGACACTACAGAAAGTTCAAACACATCTCCATTGACAAAAGACTTTGTATGTGGCGCCATGTACAATTCTGCCATTCTCACTTCTCCATGGTCCTGGCTGCCTGCTTCCTTATGCTTTGTCATCTAATCGCTAAGTCCCTTCACCAACTAGAGATTCTTTCCCAGAAGGGATGCTCAGACGTAACTGCTGAGTGTCAGAGTCTTAAGCATTCAAAATACCTGAACGTATCTTCTTGTTCTGCAATTCATTCCTTGTCCTTCACCCATGAAAGTATTGTCTGTCAGTGCAGCTGCTTTATCATCTCTATGTGCTATTTCATCTCCATGACACCCTTGCATAAATCATGTAAAGTGTAAGGAATAGCTGATATAATTCAAGGACGGTTTTGTGTTTATCCATTCACTTGACTTTAGTGATAATAATAAAAGTTATACTAATCAAGCCATTTCAGGTCAAAGTTCTAATATCCTCCAGTATGGAACGATGCGTTTTTAACATCCTTCCTTCTCCATTGAATCCTTTTCACAGTAAAATATATTTCATAGTTGGTAGGATTACAGTTTTAGTACAATTAACATCAGACAGATTTTTATTCTTTTTTTAAACGGCAGCTCTTTGCAAAACATGTGCTCTTAATTTGAAAATATCTGTTGGTCTCAGAGTTTGACAATAGTGCATTTCTTATTATCATTTTTCATTGTGATTGATATCTCTGTGCTTAGAAAAATTGCTAACTCAGAATGTGCTATGCCCTTCAAATATTTTGGAAGAAGGCCAGGCCAGAGAAAAGTCTTTCATAACTTTTTTACTTAATTGATAGATGGCTGACTCAAAATGGATTTCCCTTCAGCTAGCCAATTGCCTTCTCGCTACTGTTCTCTTCTAATAGATGAGAAGGAAATGAAAATTTGCTAGACCATGGGCACCTAGCAGTGCACGTTTCACTTCTGATATTTTTTAGACATTTTTTTCAAAAATAACAACCCTCCATCCTGTTAAAATGTCACATTCTTTTCTTCCTCCAAGATTGAGAACGTGGAATTTTACATGCAAAATTTTACATGGATTAGTGGAATATGTATCTTTCAGAGGTTTATATTTGTTATATTTCAAACGTGAGCCAATACTCCATTTTAGGAACACTGAGATTTCATGGAAAATTACTTTCCACAGAAGTGTTTTACAAAAATCACAGAGAAAACACTGTATTTGTATTAGTTCTGTTTATATTTTGGTTTTCATAAAAATTTATGTATGGTTTATGAGTATGAAAACTAAACTGACTAAAGTAATGTGATTTCATTCACAATGTGAAAGTCTAGCTTCCATCTTTCACAACACAGTAAAGTATACATATAATCTCTAATATGTAGTTTCTAATCAATGATGTATGAGAGTCATAATTATTTCATAATAAACAGAGTCAACTTTGGAATCAGTACTCAAACTAGTGTATAGAATAAGACACTTCATTTATTTCAAGCTCCAATTGTACTGAAAATTAAACATTTGATGTAATTTGAATATTGGCAGATATGTACTTTTAGTAAAGCTAGACTGAATTTAAGTAGGATTATACCGAAAGCCATGTTTGATTTCCGCATTTGCTTTTGCCCACCGCATTTTTCCAAGTCACTTTGTAGCTTCTCGAGGTAAAATAAGAAAGATACTAACTCCCGAGAGGCTAAGAATACCTTGTAGAGGTAAGATATTAACTCTGAGCAGGATACCTTCCACTCATCTGTGTACAAAAAACATCATCCATTAACTTTTATTATTTCCGGTGCTTCATTTGCTGTTATTATAGAAAATTATATTGAAAACAGAAGAGAAAAAGACGGCTAAACTGTCCATTTGGTGTCAGAGGGTTTCACATATTTATCATTGCACACTCACGGATTAAACCTTAGGTTGTATAAACAAGCATCAAGAATAGAATATAAATTTATACACTTAAATCATACAGGAGGAGAATTTGACCTAAATGTGTTTTGTTTCTTTACCCTGAAGAAAGTAGGAGTTTCTCTGGGACTGTGTTATGCATATACTTACAGTTTTATTTTTTAGATTTATCTTTTACTTAAATTGTTCTGTTACAAATACACATCATAGGTTTACCCATGTCATTTAGAGGGCTTTTTACAAAAAAGAAGTATCACATATTATAATTTGAAATAATTTTACACTTTTATAGACCAACAGGCAATGCTACTTATCTTTTCAGTGAGCACTAACAATCTCTTTATCACTGCTTTCATGGTTCCTGAATGCTGGTGGACTTCATTATCTTAGTTGTTTTAAGGTAAAAGAGAATCATAGATAAATTTTCAGGGAAAATACTCCAAATTAGGTGATGATGAACTGTAAGTAAATGTTTTATATCTGCAATGCTTTTTGTTTGTAGAGAAATAAATAACCTAAGGTTTAAAAAAATCACTGTAGCTTTCATGAGGACTGTTTATAAACATATTAAAATCTTTAAGAAAAATATATGGCTCTTTTCCAAGTTATTTTATTTGTCTATTTAGAATTATTGAAGTCATCAAATTTTAACAAAAGGATAATATGAATTTTGTGAATATTACACCTGAGGATAACATCTTATGAAATTAGTAAATTTAAATAATTTAACAAGAGTGAGCAAATTACAATGTGCTAAGCCCTTCACACATAAGTTTTAAAACTGTTATTGAGGTACAAATTTCTTGACAAAACTGTCCAAAAGCAGTTAAAAGATTTGATGGAATTTTTATACTCTGATTATCCAGGCTTAGTTAATGCTTATTAAAAGAGGATTAATTTATATTCATTTTTCAGGAATAATTTATCAGGGAATAAGTTTTGACTGCAACATTAAAGTGTACATTTGGAATAAGAAAATGTGACCTACTAGAGATAGGCACTCTAAAATATTCCTCCCCTGAAAATGTCAACTTACCACATAGTTAGATTTTCTGCCTCTGCTCCCTCTAATCTAGCAGGCATAATATTAAAATTAATCCTGTCAGATAATAGGAGAGGTACTTTGGGTGTAATATAATCTTACGAAATCTCTTAAACTTATATCCATCATATTTGATTTTTCTTTTTTTGGTACTGGGAATCAAACTCAGGACCTTGTACTTGCCGCACAGATGCTTGTGCCACTGAGCTATATCCCTACCCCCCATATCTATCACAAAAATTCCAACAAATTCAAGATACTTCATACATACCTAGATTGTAGTGTCTGTAGAACTTTCTGAAAACTCTCTGGTGAGTCTTTGTTAAAAGTTCTAATATTGGGCTCCATGAAAGTTCTTAATTTGAGATGCTAGCAGCCACTTCAACTTAAACATCTTAGTTATTCAATCTCTCATAAGCACAATGTTACTACACTGTGATTATAAAAATTGTGACAAGGGGAAACTGTCCAAGCACTCACCCCACACCCCACTTCTGATTTCCTTCTACTTCAAGGCAAACATTTATTCAAAATGAGAACTACTTCAAAAAAAGGTTTCAGCCTACTTTATATTTATATTCTATATTCTCTTTGCTCACAAAGACACACTGCTGATCCAAATGCCATTTATAATTTCCATTTTCTGAGTTCTAACTGATCATCTTTGTTTGAGGTCCAGATTTAATTTCATTGTCAAGTAGAATGAAGTGATTTTTGGCGTACTTTTAAAAAATGGAATGAATTGACAAACTTTGGAGCAATGGGTAAAAAAGAATATTGAAAGTATGATCTCTTTTCCATCTTTCTTTAAAAACACAGCTCGCCAACCCGGTCATGGTAAGGGCTGTGTATGTGGTAGCGGTAGTTTTTGTTGTTGCTCTTCCTGCTCCTCCACCTTCACTACCACTTCCTTTTTCTTGATTATTTTCTTCCTCTTTCTCCTCATCCTTCTTTCTCTTCTGCTTTGTGACAGAAATATACTAATGAAGGATTCTTACATATTCCAAAATGACTAGGGGCCATTTTAGGTTAGTCACCTGTTTACAGAATATCCTATGAATTTTACCTTTGTATAGTGGCCATGCAAGCATAGAAATAAGTCTTTTTGGAATGTGTGACAACATGTTAGCATTCTGGGAGCATTTGAAAAACATATTTCAATGATGACTGGGACACAGACAGAAAGTATGTATGCTCTGAATGATGAACATGAGCTGCACTGAAATTTAAATTCTTTTGATCACAAAATTTAGTTCTTGATTGTCAAATATGGGCCATATCACAAGGTCCATACTCTAATACACCTGTAAATTAACCAAATGAATGACTCCTTGTTGGTAAGATTTTCTGTGCTGCATCATAATGCTTTAAACTCTACATTTTATGAAGAATCTCTCATTGGGTAACATTTAGAGTGAAGTATCGCTTCGGTTTTTTGCATCACCTCTTCAGCTGTCTTCTTCTTCTCCACTATTATTTATTTCTGTGGCACTGACAGAAAATTTGTTTTGAAAGAGAGGGGATCTATATTAGGGTGAACTATTTAGTTTTTCACATACTTTTTTTTTTTTTTTTTTTTTGGTTTTTCTCTGGTACCGGGAACCGAACTCACGACCTTGCGCTTGCCGGGCAGGCGCTTTTGCTGCTGAGCTAAATCCCCAGCCCCCTAGTTTTTCACATACTTTTAAATAGCACATTTTGAGGTATAGCCCATCAAGGGCCTGTTATTTGCATATTCACTATGGTATTCACAGTACTGTCTTAACTCTCTTTTAGCAGAGCAAAACAATCACTTGTATTTCATTAAAAAACTCATATTATTAGAGAGTCACATCAGATAGAAAGCTAATTAGCTGAACGACTTTCACACTGTGTGTGTGTGTGTGTGTGTGTGTGTGAGTGCAGATTCACACAAATGTGTCCTAATTAGGCCTTTATTTAATACTTTCAGTGTATGATTTTTTGCATTGTTTCAGATCAACTCAGTTTTTTTAAAAGGAGTTATTAGATGCACTGCTTAAGTTATTAGATGCGCTTAAGGGTTCCTAGCTTTTAAGCAGGCAACTAGTGATCAGTATTTTTTTATCTTCTGCAGAGCTGTCTATGGCCAATTCTGGACAAATAAGAAAGTTGTCTCATGATTGGTTTATAGTACCTTTGAGAAGGTACCTGAAAAAAATTGATAAGGCAGTATATTTTGGTACCAACAAGCTATGTCTGAAAGCCTTGGCATATTCGAGTCTCGTAAAGCTCTGAGAGATGCTTGGAATTATGATCATGTCACCTGAGTATGATGTCATGAGAGATAATTTTATTAGATGTTCTTTAAGAAGGGACTGGAGAGATGTGCTTAGAAGTTTTTAAAAAATATAAAGAATAATCATAACTGGTAGCTGAAACCAGAAAGAGATAAGTTTTATTCAGATTTAAAAGTACTCATTATGTATACATTATAAGAAGTAATGCATTCTGTTTCTTTAAAGGATGAATTAATTAATACAAAGTCATTTTCACCTTAACTCACCACCCATAGCAAACATAGGAAATATAGTTACTATCTTCTACAGGATTTGTTGGTTGTTGTTTTCACAACTGTGAAAACAGTATGGGGCCTATGATTGGTTAGCAGGACCATAAAAATTTTGGCCAGAATTACAAATTTGTTGCATTTTGTAAAATCCATAAACTTCTTAACAAATTTTATTTCCATAATTTTCTAGCTGCGTAATTTTGTGTCAAATTTGATCCAAACTAATGAGAAACTATTTGTAGTTTATCCCACTATTCATGCTAGTCACATTTCATTGCAGAGATCTTATATAGCTTTGAATACAATTTATCTCATACCCTCTTTGTAGTATGTAAAGTTCATTCCTCTTCTTGGATATGAATCACTTTGAAATCCAAATACATTTAACTGCAGAGGTTTTGGATAAAGGATGTGGATCTGTACTAATAATTGCATTCTTTGGCTGATCTTTGAAAGCACTTTCAGGTTTTGGGCTTTGAGATGTCAGAGCCACTGTCTGGTAGGAGTGGTTTCATTGACCCCAGGCCTATGTCATGCTTATTAGTGTGGCTGAAAAGTTCCACTGTTTTGATTAAAAGTTGAGCTTTGCCATCTTTGCATGCAGAGGCATCTATGCAGTATCAATTATTTGAAATATGTATTTTCATGAACATGTTATTCTGCATTAATTATAATTCATTTCTATTGCAATTATACCTTTTCAAATCATGGTTCTTATGAGTATACCTAAAAGGACTTGTTATAGAAATATATGTTCAGTAAGGATCTGTTTCCCTTGTTTTATTTGAAGAATATTTACCTGTTGGAATGTTCCTGTTTTGATTTCTATCATGTGTATTTTGGTGTAAGCCTTCTAATTAATAAAATTTTGTGTTACGATAACCTTGGTTTGTTGATATGTTTTCCTTCTTTTATTTTTAAAATGAAATTTAAAAATAAAAAAATAGAAAAAGATAATCTTGGTTTCATAATTCCACATTAATGCTATGTTGATCTACTAATAACACTATATATACCACTTGCAATGGTGTTCACATCTACGT